ACTCATACACATTTCAATTTTACAAAATGAAACTTAGTGCCAGGGATTGACGATCTTCCAGCAAAATCAATTTTTTCCATATATTGATTACTTTGCCGCAACTTTTTTTCGACAATTTTTTGTCGCATTTCTAGTGGAGTGGCTTAGCTTCGTGAGACCTAGTTCTGTCCAATAATGATACTGTTAGTTTAACAGACTCCTTTTAAATGGACCCTTGCGGTGCCGACAGCATTTGCGCGTAAGTAATGGCTAACAGCGCTCAATACTATAATGCTCTAGGTTCAAATTTCACGCGCATATATTGTCAACACCGCAGACGCATTACACTAGCTGTCGAATCTACCAACTCAGACAATGGATCGGACCCCTCCGCTGGGCAAGCCGAAACTGCCAGACTCGCGCCGGACTCAATTGACCAATGAGAGCGGGGCAAATGGGCGGTCCCTCGCGTGACATCACTGCCAGGCAAATGGGAGGCTTCTCCGGCCCTGCTGCAAAGGTCCGCCATTTCTCCGGCGCGACCCTGGCAGATTTGCCAGGCTCGCGCCGGACAAATTTGTCCGGCGCGAGCCTGGCAAATCTGGCGGAGTCGCGCCGGAGAAAATGGGAGGGGTCCGGAGCAGAAATGGGAGGCCTCCGGAGCAGAAATGGGAGGTATCCGGAGCAGAAAATGGGAGGTCTCCGGAGCAGAAATGGGAGGGCTCCGGAGCAGAAGATGGGAGGTATCCGCCGGAGAAATGGGAGGTATACGGAGCAGGCTGCGTATCGATTTGGCGCGTAGCAAGCAAACGTCTAACTCCACGGTGATGAGTCCTCTGTTTACGCTCTTTGTCCATATTTTAGTCGCCGTTTCTTTGATTCTGTTGTTTTTGCGCGTTTCTTTACCGTTTTTTCCTTTTCCGCGTTGCTCTTCGTCGCGTTGGCGTTTATGTTGCTGTAAGTTCCTCGTTTTCAGGTTTATGTTTGAAAATTTCGTGCGGTTGCACTCAATCACCTTCATTGTTTGGCTCTTTCCGATTTGCTGAGACATCGTAGACTATTGATGGAGTGGTTTTTGTGATTAATTCTGGATTTTCGAAACAATGAGGTTAGTTGCGCAACTATCTAGTGTTGTTGTGATGAAAGTATCGTCTAAATAATCCGTGTTGTTGTTCCGTGTCACACAGTGCTTACCAGCCTGGCTAACGAGCGTTTTATGCAAAGAATATACCTTTAGGTAGAAAAAGATATAAAGGATGCATCTTTGGTAGGATAGGTAGTTTTTTGTTTTTGAACTGCGATACTCGAAAACGCTTTGCACACGTTACACAGGCTCAAACATGTTTGCTCTCTGATTTCCAAGATTGTTACATCCAAGATAAATTACAGCACATGTTTCAACTTGTTAACCCATTGACGACGATGTGAACCACCGGTGGCCTACGCGCTTTTTGCTGCCAGGGACGATGTGGACCCCCGGTGGCCCACACCTCTTGCAAAGTTGTACTATTTGAAGGTCTAGTATTTTTTCCACATGCCAATATTTTTTTAGATTTTTTGTATTCTTGTGACCTGTAGGCTCCGTCGTTCAAGAAAATGTTGATAGTTGTTTACAAAGCAACGTTGCATTTTGTAAATAAGCACAAAACCTTCACACACTGAAAGTATTGTGCAAAATCGCGTCGTCCCACAGCGCCGCCACGCAAAATTAGGCGTCGTCGTCAATGGGTTAATCACACGTGTCCAAAGCTTTTCGAGGTTGTCTCACACGAAACGATAATCATTTCATTCCTTTACCGTAGATATATCCACCATTTGCAACCGATGCCAACTGCGTTAATCAAGCTGCTGTACAATAACTTGCTTTGTAAGCATAAGTTGTAATCGCTCATATCGCGAATTCACTATGAATGCGGGTTTGAACTTGCCGCCGAATGCAAATTTATTTTCCGCGGCGCGAAGTTGGCGTAATCAAACCATTATCTGGTTTTTTCTTCCTTTCTTTCATTCACATTCTTAACAGCAAGCTTTGAAAAATTGCTTTTCCAAGCACTTTCCGCAATGAAATCTAGGAAGGAACATAAAGCACGTTTTTCAAAAGAGTTCTGACTAATCACTCCTCTTTGTAGACGTCTTCTATCTAATATAACCGCTTGAAGGCGTTTTCTTCTTTCATATCCTTTGTGCCTACTTCAGTTGGTAAGGGCTACGCTCGCAGTTCTGGCTTATCCCATATCATCGGCAGTCCGTCGTCCTTATGGTTATTTTAGAGCTGCTTCTTGCAAACTTCATCTATCTTCATCGATCGTTCACTTCATTATTCACAATCGTTTCTGGTTCAAGTTTCTTTGAATAAAGCAAGTTTTTAGCATGGACTACTTGTTGGATCGGTATTTGTTCGATAACTTGCCTTTCACAGTCTCGCCTGAAACTAGGAAAGGTATAGGTCAGAAAGCTGTCACCATGGTCCAGGTGAGGTTTTGTACCGTGTTACGGTGAGGTCTTTAGTGAGTTTTTGGAAAGCTCTTTTGTTTTACTTTATCTCCATGAGAAAGTTGCTCAATTTCAAGCAGTTTAATTCGGTATCAGCTTCATGTCTTCCAGGCGTTCAGTCACAATTATATCACATGCTGCTTTTCAGTGGGCGGATTGGTTTTGCAAATACAAAAGTCCCGTAGAATTGATCCAGAATAACCCGTACTTTTTCGCTGCTAGCTCGTCTTTGGATTTTTATGTATGCTCACATTTGCTCATGGTATGTTTTAGACTTCCTTTTGTATCTTATTCAAATCACTATTCGATATCAAATAAGCCTATCGTCATGGCGGTCGGTATCTATACACATGGATTGCCGTAACTGTACATGCGTTTGTCATCGAAACACTAGCTATCTCTGTACCAGAATTGAATCTTTATTGGCATGCACAGGTATTTATCTTTCTTCTCAGCAACACTCGACTTCATAATTATCCTGTTTAGGGTATGTTGAGCTTTTTTGGAATGAGAGTTCCTCTCTATGCCCTTTTTGGATTTCATCAAATGTTTCTCTACACATCCTATGTCCTTGTTAGCAGGTATCTCATGTACAGGGCTTTTCAACCTGTAATATAATAATGATTGACCCCTGTTAGAGATTACTTAAGAATGACTTTGAAACAGTAACGACATTGTTGGACCTTTTTATATGGGCATTCTTCCCTATTTACAGTAACAACTTTCTCTTACTAAAGGTTTATTAACAAGAAGGAATACTAGGGGGCAGCACAAAGGGTGCAGGACAGAGTACATCAATACAGAACTAGGATGTGAAATAGAGTTTGAACTACATCAATAGAGACTTAGGAATATAGGGGAACTTGAAAATACAGAGAGCATATATATATAGAAGGATAGTGATGAAGAAATGGTATACACATAACATAAAGATAAAAATGAGTGGTTGATTATATGTCGCTGAGCCGGCCGGAGCCGGCTAGCTCGGTGCCTCTCTCTCCCCCTGAGGGCGGGGTTTAGTTGCTTATATAGTTGGCGAGGGGCGGGGCAAGAGTGCAGGGACCAATAGCGCATTACCGTTATTAGCGCTTTTCCTACATGATTTTCTTTCGGAAAGTCCCGGTCCCCGGGACTAAAAGAATGTGACAGGGGCATCTTGACAAATGGCGGTGACGTGGCCAGTGGCGTTACAACGGAAGCACACTGGGTTCTCTGTGCATTCTTTTAGGGGATGGCTCTCGAGGCAGCGCGGACAGAGCCTGTATCTTTGAAGGAGTATGCGGGCTCTTTTATGGAAGGGCATGGGTGATTGACAGTACCGCGTAAGATGAGTACTTTGGCTGCAGAGAAGGCATAGAGGTGCCGGAATTGGATTAAAACAGCGTCGGTGAGTAGGCCCGCGATATTCGTGTTTTAAGCGATAGTAGTACTGGGGTTCATGTGGCTCTGGTCGGGGAGAGAGACATAGTTTGAGTAAGCTGGGGATGGCTCCAAGAGGTTTCTCCCAATTGCGTGGTTGTGGTGGTGCGATGGTGCGCAATTTACGAGGAGGTTTGGGCGTAGTGAGGAGTACCCTCCGGCGTAAGAAGTTTTGGGAGGCTTGTGTTGGCACGTGGATAGTTATTGTGGAAGGTGTGACGCCTTCCGGAGGATTTGCGGTAATGCTAGGATTGTTAACTTGGGAGGTTGTGATTTCCGGAAGGATGGTGGTATTGTCGGAATCATTAACGTATGGAGAATTGGTGCCTTGCGAAGGATTTGTGGCATTGTTAGAGTCGTTAACTTGGGAAGGAGATGAAACAGAATGAGATACAATCGAATTCACATCGGATTCTGCAGGTACAACGAGGAGGATGTCAGGAGAAGGGTTATTATTTGGAGATGTTACATCTAAACTCATAGCGATATCAGGAGTGGGAGTAGAAAGAAGATAACGAGTTAAGGAAGGGGAAGGAGAGGTGGAAGGAGAAGAAGAAGAAGAGGAAGAAGAGAGATAATAAGATAGCGTAGGTGATTGTTGCTTGCGACGAGAGCTGGATGACGATGACGAGCGGGATCTCTTGCGACTGAAACGTTCGGAGGCAACAGGAATCGTATTTGTCGACATCTGGAATTGTTCTGCAATTGAAATCCGTGATTTTGTGCGTTTAACGTGTTTAACACGCTATTCTGGGCAGTAGCGTGGCAGGGGGCGCTCCAATGACGAGGGTGCGGCGCGCGGCGTGCGCGCGTCGCGGCCTAATTGATTTCGGCGGGTGACGCCGCAATTCAAAATCGTTGCGTCATTTGGAACGCTATGATTGTTTTTGGCGTTCATTTGTCCCTATGTTCGCTGTCCTTGCATGTTATTTCTTATTTGTCTGTTTCTGCATTAGTTTTTTGCTTGTTCGTCCACATTGCTGCCTTTTTAACTTTGATTAGGTTATTCTAGTATCTTGTTTTCTCGTTGTCGCTTAATTTCGCAATAATGTGATTGTTTGTGCGCTGAACTCGTCGTGTCGTGTTCATAATAGTAATTTCTTATGATCTTATCGATTTTTTTTTCCAGATGGCCCACTCCGTTGATCGAAGCTTCTGCCCCTCGCGCTGTTCTGAGCGAGGGGTTTGTTTTGCTAGAGGGGCCGATTACATCTGTGTCTGTTACGACATAGATGTGTATTCGCAAGATTGTGGTATTCCTGCTATTGGCTCATCTACGCTAGAGCCTCATGTTTATTATCTGCTATGGGCAGTGCTGATTGCGGGTAAGTGTTTTTTTTTTGCTTTTTTATTATGTTTTTTTACTCTTTTTTTTAAACTACATTCTTTTCTTTTAGCTTTCGCGGTTGCGACGTTGACGTTAGCTGTATCTATTCGTCAAGTCGTCCGTGCATGCCGCACTCGGCGCTGGAAGCCCGAGACGGTAAAACCGGTGATTTCCGTCATGGGTCGTAATCCCTTGGGGCAGGTAACGGCATGATGTGCACGGAATTTTGTCATGTTGTTTTGTGCTTGTGTAATGCTGTTTTTTTGTGTAATTTGGTTTGTTACGGTGTGCTGGTGCTAACTTTACGGTGACTGTGTGCAATAAATTTTTTTTTGTTATGTTTCATGATAAACTGTTAATAAAGGAATGCTGGTTTGCGGTGATGGGTTTTCAGGTTATGTTCTGTTGTATATTGAAACGTATGGTTGTTTCGTTGTTTCTTAACTTTTTTTATGGTTTTTTTTTCAATTATTTTGATTTAGATGTGGCAGTCGGTCGATAGAAGTTTTTGTGCGGACCGTTGCAATGAAAGAGGAGTCCATTTCTTCATCACTATCCTTCTATATATATATGCTCTCTGTATTTTCAAGTTCCCCTATATTCCTAAGTCTCTATTGATGTAGTTCAAACTCTATTTCACATCCTAGTTCTGTATTGATGTACTCTGTCCTGCACCCTTTGTGCTGCCCCCTAGTATTCCTTCTTGTTAATAAACCTTTAGTAAGAGAAAGTTGTTACTGTAAATAGGGAAGAATGCCCATATAAAAAGGTCCAACAATGTCGTTACTGTTTCAAAGTCATTCTTAAGTAATCTCTAACAGGGGTCAATCATTATTAGCTAATAACGGTAATGCGCTATTGGTCCCTGCACTCTTGCCCCGCCCCTCGCCAACTATATAAGCAACTAAACCCCGCCCTCAGGGGGAGAGAGAGGCACCGAGCTAGCCGGCTCCGGCCGGCTCAGCGACATATAATCAACCACTCATTTTTATCTTTATGTTATGTGTATACCATTTCTTTGTAGTCGTCGAGAAATTCTTCAAATGTTTTCTCACCGTCGCCGGTAAACCTTTCTAAGCGGGTCCCTAGAAGTTTGCTTGAGGCATATAAATTTGGCTGAGAGATTTCGGGGTGTTCGAATACAGATGCGTTCGCATTGGTTTGTACGCTAGCGCTGGGCATGTTGGCACGTCGTTCTCGCTCTTTTGCTGCCTTTTTCCGGTCTTGAAAGTCTCTGATTACGGCTCGAAGTTCGTTAATTACGTCGAGCGAGAAGTTGGGATTGCTTTCGTCTACGGAATGGTATTCAAAATCTTCCGGGGGTTGTAATTCGCTAGTAGAAGGACGATCTACGTTAGATTGCGTTATACGCGGGGTTTTGCGTTCTTTTCCCAGTTTTGCGAGCGTTACGTTACGGTCGTCACAATTTATTTGACAAGCGCGCGCTTTCTTAGCGGTTTTTTAGGGGATGTTTTGACAGAAATGAGAGCTAGATCTCTATGAGTTTTTTTTTCAGTTAGTAGAATCTATATAGGGTTTTATAGAATCTTCGCCGTGGACTCACTGGGCACGCTCGATGCTCACAAAAGAAACTACTGCGGAGCAATGAGGTGTGTGTGTGTTTTTTTTTGTTTACGATTTTTTTTTTAACGGAGAGTGCTTTTCTTTATTTTCTTTTATCTCTTTGTCTGTTTTTTTTTATCCTCTTCGTAATTCTCGTTATTTTCCTGTAGTACTACGAGTGACGTTAGCTGATTTTTGAACTATGTTGAATTGATAATACCTTTTCCGGAGGATACGATTTTTTTTTGAGATATTATATATATATATATATTTTAAAGACGGTTTCTCCTTGAATTGATTGCTTTAGGACAACGCAACGTTGAAGAGGTGCGGTGGGTACGTGAAGATCTTTACGGCGAATGAGTGAAGGCTTTTCCTAGTGTGATCGATTTTTTTTTGTGTCGCGATTTTTGTATGTTTTTTTTATACAGCGATAAAGACAAGAGTAGTATTTAAGTTTGATCTGTGAAAGGTTTCGCTAACTTTGTTACAAGTTAGCAATGAGCGTGCGTTGGTGCGGATTAGCTGAGTTTGGTAGCTGACAGCCGAATGGCTGTAATTATAGGAAACTAGCTGGCTTACCCGGCTCCGCCGTATCCGGACCAAACTTGGCACACATACACTTCGGGCCCCGGCGGGTGTCACAGTCCACTTTTCATTATCGATCGATGTCGATTTTACCGATTTTTACCGATTTTTTTGCAGAGTTCACCTACAGAGCTAGGAGTTGGCACAGGGGGGAAGTGAGCATGGGGATTCCGAATACAATATTAGTTTTCAGAATTATCGATTACTTTTATTAATTTTATCGATTTTTTGTAAATTTTGACATGCGAGGCTGGGATTTTGCACAGGGGGGTAATCGAGCATGCTGATTACGAACACAATATTAGTTTCCAGGATCGTCCATTACTTTTATCGATTTTATCGACTTTTTTTGTAAAGTTTGACCTGCGGGGCTGGGAGTTTGCACAGGGGGGTAATCGAGCATGCAGATTACGAATACAATATTAGTTTTCAAGATCGTCCATTACTTTTATCGATTTTACGATTTTTTGAAAATTTGAGCTAGGGGGCTGGAATTTGGCAGGGGGGTGTAATCGAGCATGCTGATCACCCCCCTTGGGGGTGATCAGCATGCTCGATTACCCCCCTGTGCCAACTCCCAGCCCCCTAGCTCAAACTTTGCAAAAAAATCGATAAAATCGATAAAAGTAATCGATAATCCCGAAAACCAATATTGTATTCGGAATCCCCATGCTCGATTACCCCCCTGTGCGAACTCCCAGCCCCGTAGCTCAAACTTTGCAAAAAAATCGATAAAATCGATAAAAGTAATCGATAATCCTGAAAACCAATATTGTATTCGGAATCCCCATGCTCGATTACCCCCCTGTGCCAACTCCCAGCCCCGTAGGTGAACTCAGCAAAAAAATCGATAAAAATCGATAAAATCGATATCGATCGATGACGAAAAGTAGCCTATGACACCCGCCGGGGCCCGTAGTGTATGTGTGCCAAGTTTGGTCCGGATCGGTTCAGAAATGGAATTTTCTATTCGGAACATACGTACAGACAGACAGACAGACATACAGACAGACATACAAACAGACATTCAGCTTTATATATAAGATGAGAGAAGAAAATATGAGATTATGATGTGCCTTTTCTTTTTTTTTCCAAAATGGAGTTGTTTTTTTTGTATTTACGTACGAAAGGGTGTGCCAATGATTAGGAAAGAGAAGAGTTTACGCACAAGTTATACAGAGATTGGAAGATAGTACTTAATACTCACTGTTGCTGAGTGACGTCGCTTTTGAGGGTGAGTTGGAGAATAGATTGGTTGTCGGTTGCGACGTTTATTGAGATCAGCAGCTGGTTCCAAGAGGGGGGGGGGGTGATGGCTTGAGTTGGAGTCGGCTGGCAGCTAGGTGTTTGAAGCGAGAATGAGGGTGCTCGGTAGTGGCGTGCAACTTATATACATGTACGAGAAAGTTGGTCGGCCAACTTTCGTGCATTTTTGATGGAGATCCCGATTTTTCACTGAATATAAGCTCCACGTATTCTACGCACGACTCGCGTCTCACGCATGGTGAGATTGTTAATAATTGAGTGCGCTTTACTTAGGTTGAATGCTGCGTCTTCATTTGTGATTCTACGCGTGACTTACGGTAGTGCGCGACTCGGTGCATAATTTAAACGCGGAGCAAGGGTCGCGGCGGCAGTGCGCGAACTCGGTGCATAATTTATACGCGGAGCAAGGATTACGTTTGCGCATTAGTCGTATTACTGGACTTATCTCGAATGCAGAGTACGGTAGTTAGGATACATTCGGAACAGTATTATTATCTCTGTATACTGACTACAATTGAAACATGTGGTGCGACTTTATTATCTCTGAGTGGAGATCGTGGAAGTTTTGAACATCTGTTTTGTAAGTATGTTTCGAAATGTGTGTACTCCGAATAGCTTTTTAGCACGTCATCTGTAGTTGGATAAAATCTCGGTAGTGATGTTGTTGGTGCGATCGGAAAATGGAAAAGTGGTAGCCGCGGATTATATTGCAAAAAACTAGATTACTCAAAGCTTAGTTGTTGCAGCAAACTAACAGATACTATATTTTGTTTTGGCTTGTTGGTGTTAGTGCTATGGGAATTATTTCTTTTCAATTCGTAATGTAAACAGCTTTGGATGTGGGTTTTTTCCCCTGTCTTTTCGAGGTTGAGCACATTGGTTATACATATTTTACTGATTAGGTTATTGTAGTGAGATAATTATGTACATATTGCACAAGATAGGAGATATTGGTGGCGGTATTAAATGAATGAGATTGGATGATCACGAAGCATTTTACTGGAAATTCGGGTCAGTATTCTCTTCTTCTAACACTTGCCAACTGGAGCAGGTGCTTTGCGGCCGTTGAGCGGTTGATGAGTGGGAGCCATTGCTGCAAGCGCTTGGTGGTCGTGGTATTGTAGAGGAAGGGCTTTCGTTGAGTTGGTCCCAGAGCAGCTGATGCTCCTGGAAAATCTCATGTTTGGGCATGAGGAGCCATACCTGTTCGATGGTGCGGATACAGGTCTCGCGGCCTATACCCGTCTGGAGGAGCGGGGCGTCTTCGTACTTGGGTTCGGCTTTGGCCGTGTGCCGCAAGTGCATCATGATTGTGGTCCGCGGAACGCACTTGCGGCACCAGCAATAAGTCTGCCAGGCGCGGTTAATTAGGACGCGAACACTCCTGAAATCCTTGATGACTTCTCCAGTTGCGCCGTCAAACGCCCCTTGGGCTTCCTCCACCGCAGCGTATATATAGGCGGTGACTCTGTAGTCCGATATTTTGTCTAATTTGTCCCCTTCTAGCAGCTCTATGATGGATGAGAGCCGCAGGATGTATGACCAGGGCTGGCATTTGAATAGGGAGGCGGGCATCCGCCCTAGGTATTGGTAGTAGTCATCAGAGTGCTGTAGTTTGCGTGCGTTGTTTCCAACCATCATGAGATGGTTGATTTTGCTAACGATGGCTGACATTTTCTGTAACATAAATAGTGGTTAGTGCGCGACGGAGGAGAGAGAGAATGGATGTTAGAGATTATATTTTTGGGGGGGGGGAAGGAAAGAGACTGGGGAAGAATGCCAACAGAAAAAAAAAATTTTTTTTTTTTGAAGTGCAGGGTAACATTATTACTTGATGTAGCAAATTTCTCAATTATTGAAAATATATTCGTTAACTTGCGCGCAAATGAGCGGTCACTATTAAATGTACTTACGTTATATGCGAGGGTGACGCTGATACCTGGCCAGGCTTTTCCTACGCCATGAAAGGCAATAAATAGGGGGAGACTTTGCTCCAGTCACATATTTTGTTTGTTTTCATGTAACCTCGCATTAAAAGGGCGTAGATGTGACATGCGCGAATAAAAAAATAAAAAAGTGTGGGTAAATATGATTGATGGAAAAAATTTTGAGCTCTTTTGCCGAGTTCCCAAAAAAAAAGGATGGAGAACCCGGTGCGGAACCTCCATGTAATATAATAATGATTGACCCCTGTTAGAGATTACTTAAGAATGACTTTGAAACAGTAACGACATTGTTGGACCTTTTTATATGGGCATTCTTCCCTATTTACAGTAACAACTTTCTCTTACTAAAGGTTTATTAACAAGAAGGAATACTAGGGGGCAGCACAAAGGGTGCAGGACAGAGTACATCAATACAGAACTAGGATGTGAAATAGAGTTTGAACTACATCAATAGAGACTTAGGAATATAGGGGAACTTGAAAATACAGAGAGCATATATATATAGAAGGATAGTGATGAAGAAATGGTATACACATAACATAAAGATAAAAATGAGTGGTTGATTATATGTCGCTGAGCCGGCCGGAGCCGGCTAGCTCGGTGCCTCTCTCTCCCCCTGAGGGCGGGGTTTAGTTGCTTATATAGTTGGCGAGGGGCGGGGCAAGAGTGCAGGGACCAATAGCGCATTACCGTTATTAGCGCTTTTCCTACAAACCTGAGAGTCGCAAGTTTCGCTTGCGCGGCTCCTCCAACGCGGCCGCCTCGCTCAGGCCGCGCGCGGCGTTTGCTGCGTATCGCCCGGATTTCGCCAAGCTTCAGTCGACGCGCAGCCAGCGCCACGAACGCTGCGCGGACCTAAGCGTGGCGTCCTAGCGGGGCGGGTGGGACACTCAGGTTGTAAAGCCCTGTACACATTTATTAGTCCACAGAATTTTCATACATTTTTTACTAGCGGGAAAATCTTCCGATCAAAATTGTAGACGTAAATTTTAACGGATAACGGTTAAGAGTTTCTGCACGGTCCTGTTTTTCGAACAGCTTGTGAAGGGGGGCGCCTACCCCGTTCCCCCCCCCCCCCCCCGACTTGTTGCTTCATCAAAAATTGATCGCTGGTTAATCCTTCTTCAACTTTTTTCACCAATACAGGTCAAGTCAGCTCAGGCCTTATAACAGTAACAGTAATTTCAGTCTTGGATAGAAATCACTTCTAAGTTCCCCTTGTCCACTTTGGTGATTGTGAGCGTAAATTTATATTCATTGCCATTTCAGAATGCGCCTACCTTGGTGGGGTGAAGGGCCTGCAGTTGGCCTGAGTTCTGTGATGCTTCAATTACCATTCCGTATGTTAGGTACGAAATTGCTGTGGTGGACGTGGCACGATACTGATCCAACGATTGAAGACAGGTCTTTTTTCGTCTTTTCTTGGTGTCCTCGATTTTCCACATGCATACAGAATGTTCTGGACTCCATGGAGCTCTTTATACTTTTATGCCGCATGTGCTTGTTCTTTTGTATGGATGCTCCGACTGACTAGACGCTTGTTGCTTGAAAAGGAGTATGACTGGATGAAGTAAGCGGTCATCTAATGTAAGACGAGCTGGAATTTAAAACACGCCATCTTCAGATTTCCAAAGAAGTTGACATGCTCCTTTCTAACTGGAGTACTGTCGTGCTGGCTAGGAACCGCACAGTTTGTCTGTTTTGTTTCATGTTGCACAGAATGCTTTTTTGATCTTTTTCTCATTTTCTTACCATGTTAAAACCATATGCTTATACTGTGGTGTTACAAGGTTCTTTTTGCAACTAGGAAATTAGTTTTTCTTTCAATATTCTTATCTCTAACTCCTAGTATGGTTTTTGTAATATGAATTAACTGTTGTACGTATGCTGGAGATAGATAGATAGATTTTTCGAAAGTTTGAAAAATTTGAAGTAAATGTCTTATCTCTTCGTTCTTTCTTCTATTTTCTATCCACAAACGCTAGGAGTGAGAGGGAGGGGGTAGAGTACGGGGTGAGGGTCGCGCTAAACTCCTACCCGGGGGGGGGGGGTCCTATTCGGCTTATTTGGGTGGGGTTTAGAGACAAAATTGGGGTTTGGAGCTTAAAGGCAGCGTCCAGGCAAGTCTGGACCTATGGGGATTTTACATGGAAAGTATTTTAGGGCCCTAACTAAGCCACTACCCAACCGGCAGCTCAACTAGTGCTCTAACGCCTGAGATATTCTGCTCGAAACCGGACCCCGCGACCGTGTTTCGCATAGATTCATGGCGCAAAGCGTGGATCCTGGCGCGAAACTGCCATGAATCCATATACGTTCGCGGGGGGTCTGTTTCGAGGGGAATATCTTCGCCATTAGAGCACTACCTGAACTGCTGCTTCGGCAGTGCCTTAGTTAGGGCCCCAAAAATACTTTCCATGTAAAAGCCCCATAGGTCCAGATCTGCCTGGAAGCTGCCTTTAATTAGGGCTAATTACAGTATGCCGCGATCGGGGGGCTCCGGCGCACAAAATCGGGGGGCTCCGGAGCAGAAAATGGGAGGTATCCGGAGCAGAAAATGGGGGGTATCCGGAGCAGAAAATGGGGGGTATCCGGAGCAGAAGATGGGAGGTCTCCGCCGGAGAAATGGGAGGTATCCGGAGCAGAAATGGGAGGTCTCCGCCGGAGAAATGGGAGGGCTCCGCCGGACGAATGGGTGACCCACCGCTGGGGAAACGCCGCGACCCTGCCATTTCCCCAGCGGAGGGGTCCGATCCATTGTCTGAGAAAGACAACCTCAATATGAACGAAGTTATATAAGATAATGAATGGCTGGGAACTTTTTATGATGGATGGCTTCCGGGATTTTTGAAGGTGCTCTGAGTTATATAGCTGTGTAACCAATCTGTCTTCATTTACGAATGACCTAAATAGCTTTTCGAGTGTGCGAAAACTCAGATCAGCTGTATCTCAGAAAATTCCAATTTCGTTATAGGCTCGTCAAAATTTTAAACAATTTTGGAAAGCCCTGAACACATCCCCTTCCTGCAAAAAAAAATCTCTGTTGCACCTGCACCCTCTCCCTCCCCCAATCCACAGAATTATTTGGAAGCTCCAGTGCTGCTAGCTGTATAAAAAGCGATTAGAATGAGTGTCTCAGTACTTAATAAAATCTACTGCCGCACGAAGCCGCAAAACGCGAACGCGTTCTATTAGCCGCAGACGCATGAGGCGCAGGATCCGCGGCCGCTCAACTAATACTGTTTTTGCGCGTTTGTCCGGCAGAAGATATTGAATTTTGTTTCAGATGCAACCACCGATACATCGTCTTGCGTGTGGTCACCAGCTGAAACAGCAGTGATTTCTGCTTACGATGTCTCATTAGGATTCGCAACAATTTGTGTGATAGGTCTAGGAATTCTGTTGGCCAAAAAGCTGAACAGTTCGTTGTATAAGCCTGTCTTGGTAAGTATTTATAGGCGAAGCATTGCACGCAGAGATAGAGCGTTACTGCGCACGCTGTCGGCGTCTCTTTGAACTAGCGCTTTTTCGTTCCTCTTGCCGTCTGCTGCCTCTTTCATGCATGTGCTATCTTTCTCCAACGCAACGGCGTCCAGTCTCTGCGTGCGATGACTTGCATATACATTAAACATGATGCGCAAACAAATCAATTATAGTCCTTTTTCAGTTTCATTTCATTTCGACACTTTTGCTGTTGGAAATTCCGTTACTTATTGTGATATCACTAAAGTACGCAAGCAAAGATAGTGCTGCCCTGAGAGCTGCTGATGCCACAAATATGCTCGTCGCAATTCATTCGGGCTTACACTCGTCATATTTTATTTATAATCATGAGGATTATAGGGTGAGCTTCGTTTTATTTCAGTTAATTTCATCATTTTTTGCCGGTTGCAATTTCAAAATCATTATTTCAGCAAGGAATCAGAGCAACGTTTTTACGGTTGAAAGTGCTTTCTTCTCTGTGAATCCCCCTTTACTGTATTTGCTCATGTGATTATGATGTGTAGGAACGGACCCACATTTGTAATATTGCTTTTTTCATTACGTGTATTTATCCTTTCTCGATGTTTAGAATTGGACGGGTAGCGTATACCCAACTTTGAAAATCTCATTTATTTGTTTATCTATGTTCGGCTGTTCTGGATACTGGGAGAGTGCCTACTGAGTTCTCATCGAAGATTGTACGTAAATAATCAATTTAACTAGTTTTTATTTTCACTATGTATCATTCCGCATTGAAAACTGCCACACTTTTCTGCTGCATAATCAATGATTGAAACTCTATAATTTCAATAATCCGATAATGTAAAGGGCATTCGAAAAATAGTGACGATGGCGCGACCGCGCGCGACACGCACGCACTTCCAATTCTTGGTTTCTATCTCTACTAGGGCGGTTTTTCTGCTTAAATGTGTTAGTACTGGGACACTGGAAGTCACTGTGCTGAACGTTAAGTTGATGCCTGTTTGTATGGGTGTTTTATGTTCCTGTGTGCGCAAAGTCCGCAGTCAACTCATCGTCACGATTTCAAGAATGAACCATATTAATCAGTCAATAACTGCCACATTAAACACGATTTTACCGCTAATCAAATAAATTCCTTGTTTTCAGGACAAAATTTGTTTGGTTTCATTGATATGAGTGTGGAAAGATGTGGGCAAAAAAGATATCTCGTTAAGAAGAACAAAACTCATTTTGCAAACAAAATTAAGGTGTTAGGCAACTTCGTCTGCAGAAAACAAAATGATATGTGCAAAAGCGAGCCCATCGTTGGAGCTTCGTTATGCTTCGAATATGACATTCAGGGGTAACAACCACCACTGCTTCTACTGACAAGGGAAGTTCGCCGAATCAAAATGGCCTTTTGATACGTGGTATATACCCGGATGCGGGGCTCGGAAGGGTAGTATCAAATGTGCGCCCATTAGCTGCGACGCGTTATTGTGAAGCAAGTTATGGGCCTCTGAAGTTTTCGGCGTGTGCATGTCTAGAGAATGCACAAATGCTCGAGGACCGGCCCGCCGCCCGTCACCGTCGGCTCAGTACGCGCCGCAGTCCGCGTTGCACTGAAACCCATCATTGAAACGCGTTTTTGCGCTGGCGTTGCAAATATGCAAAAAGAGTTAGCAATGCTAGTACCCATCACCACTGTTCATCACATTGTAATCACCTAGCATAGGCACATCTGCCCGAAAAGGACAAGGCCCACGGTCCACGGCAAATCCATAACCTCATGCCGTACACCTTCCAGAACTCCACGAAAGCCTCATTATGAAAAAGTAAGTATGCTGTTTGTATCTAGCATCCAGATAACCCTCTTACACCAATCAAAGCGAAATCTGTGGTTTTGACCCCGACACACAATGCAAGAACAAGATAAGTTGTCCGAAAAATTTCGAAAAAACATGTGGGAGAATGCCCATCTATTGTGTTCCAGCAAAAATCACAGCTTTAAAATTTGAGCCTGTATGTTAGAATAGCGCCATTCTCGTAGAGGCGGAATGCTTGCACATTGCTATATAAAACTCCACCATCCATTCAAGACTTGTGCGGGAAAAGAGGCTGCACAACACGTGATTTTACCAGGAGGAACAGACTAAACAGCACAGCGCTCTACATTTCCACATCGCCTTACTAGTCATCTTCGGACAATGAGCGTGAATTGTGAAGCCTACAAGTCGTAGATGTTCATCCTTGTTGCGATGTCTGTTGTGAAAATTTCTCGAATTGTATTCTAGCGAATATAGTGAGATTACTGTGACTTAGTGAATGCGATACTCTCGTTTGATACGAGTAGCGCCTCAAAACACATCTAGTGACATGTAAATCAATATTAGAGTGGTATTACTGCCAGAACTCTGCCCCGGACTGAAGCTGATGAACTTATTGACAAATTTGGAATCCCGCTAATGCCATAGTTCCCGTGACTGGACAAGCATGTGAGTGGACAGAGTCACTGGCTCTAAATTTGCATACCATACTGACATCCTATCTGTCCAACCTGTGCAACCATAAAGCCTTGTCTTCTTGGTGTACAGAGTGAGTCTAATCCGGACCGTGCAAAAAAGGTCGTGATCTCAGCAGCAAATTGCATTAATTGATACATGTTCTATCTTCTCCAATAATAAGAAGCGGACAATCAAAAATGGAGAAAAATTTTCGTCTGCGTAAACTCATGCCTATCGTTACTGCATAAATCTCTCCTTACTGCCTGCTCATATTTTACTGGCATATTCTAGTGTTTGACCATAGTTGTGATATTATAAGCAATTGTTTGGCGTCTACCACCTGTACAAAAGCACAGAGGCAAAGTGATCGATTTGTTTGGCGAACTGCTCCGCCAAACGGAGCCATAACGAAATCTACACACCGAAATAACGTATGAAAAACACTTTTCGTCTGGTAGCTTAGAATACTTGCGCAAAATTCTCCCATGCTTGATGAAACGAGTATACGGGCGCACGCGTCGCCTTTGAGCCGCGACGCGTACTGAGCCGACGGTGACGGGCGGCGGGCCGGTCCTCCAAATGCTCAGACTGTGGTCGTGTGGTGTAGTGGTTAGCGTCTCGGACTCACAGGTGACCGGTGAGGGTTGGAATCCTGTTGCTGTCCACATGTTTTGCGTTCTTCTCAGAAATCATTTCTTACCTGTTTTATGTATTATTGAGGTATAAAATGACACACACGGGTTACGGGATGATTTACAAAAATTCGACCAATGCTTCATATGTAAAATTTTCATGGTACATAGCAACGACTTTTTAGCGAGGCTTTTAATTGACTTTGAAGATTTGCCGAATCCTCACTCCCACATACTTTCTTCGATTGCACGTAGTATTTAATTGACAATCTCCAATTTGTATCACGTCGTATTGATTCTTGCTAATGGGCTACCTTGTGAGAATGACACAGCAGGATGTATAATTAGTAGAGTTTAACTGCCCGTATGTGTCATTTTTTACATCAGTAATGCATAAAACAGGTAAAAAATGAATTTTGAGAAGAACGCAAAACATGTGGACAACAACAGGATTCGAACCCTCACCGGTCACCTGTGAGTCCGAGACGCTAACCACTACACCACACAACCACAATCGGAGCATTTGTGCGTTCTCTAGACAAGCACACGCCAAAAACTTCAGAGGGCCATAACTTGCTTCACAATAACGCGTCGCAGCTAATGGGCGCACATTTGATACTAACCCCCCGAGCCCCGCGTCCAAGTATATACCACGTATCAATCGGCCATTTCGATTCGGCGAACTTCCCTTGTGAGTATCCCAGCTTGAAAGCAGTAAAACGCAGTCTCGCATGACTTAAGCTGGGTTCATACTGTTCCTGAACTAACGGATTAGTATGAACTCAGCCTTGAAGTCCCGAACGACTAGACAATAGATCCTTAGAAATTCATTGCTCTTTATAACAAATAAATCAACAACAAGCTAAATTGTTATATTTTCAAGTACAGGAATACAACAAAAAACACAAACAATAAACTCTCAAAAAAGTGGTAAGTTACGACGTACTTATTTATTCTTCCTTGCGTTTCCTCTTGTTTTCTTGTTTTCCGATTTTTTATTCTTGAACCACTGCTGTCGGTGTATTTGACTCTTTTGTCTGATAGGTTTATGTCCTTTCTTCTCCTTCTTTTCTCTGGAAGGCAAAACGGGACATAAGTTATGAATAATGGCAGAGAATAATGGGAACTCACTGCTTCGATGGTCCGGCTATAGCAGCAGCCTTTTCTTCGATAATCTTCGCCTTCTTCTTTTTGATTTTCTCCCAGATTTGCAAATCGTGCTCCTTCTCGCCGCCAGCTTCATTAGGCAAGAACTAGAAAATCTACATATCACATCTGCTAAATTGAACAATCTCTTTAGTTTACCTTTCGCTTCTTTCCTTTCTTGACATTTTCCTTCTCTCCCTTGGCCAAACGCTGGAATTTTCCCGCCGAAGCGGTAGCAGCTTTTGCACGATCGACAGCAAATCGTAGCTAAAGCACAATAAAATCCAATATTCGATTCATAGAAGAAATTGTAAAATTACCTGTTCTTTCGATTTCTCCTCTGGTGCTACTCCCAATCCAATGCTAGGGTCAACAGAAGGTCCTTTCCTCACTGTAGAACCCAGCTGTCGGGCCATATTTTTCAGCCGTTGAGTCTCGTTCTTTGCGATTCGCTCCTTCTTTTTGTCGACTCTTTCAGCAAAATAATCCTTATTGGGATCTGAAGCGTGAGACACTCAAGACAAGAAGCAAATGACACTGGTTGAAAAAAGGAAAGGTTGCGGAAAAAAAAGGAATGTTTCGAAGATATATGAAAAAAGATGCAAGACTAGTAAGTCTGACTAGCAGAAAGCCTACCAGCATTATCAGGAATTTCAATGAGCCAGTCCTTCGTATCATCGTTTCCTCGTCTGTACCCATAAGTTGGTTTCCACTCTTTGGTGGCCTCATCAAATACCTAAACCATGGGATCAAACCTCTTTCTACACCTTATATAAAAGTGGGTTAGAAGAAACATGTCTGAAATCAACTAAACGAAAGTAAAAACAAGGTAAAAAGCAGAAAACAATGGAACAAACTTTTTTGTTTTTCTTCTTCTTGGTGATTCCTTTTGCTGCTGCGTATTTCTCCCATTTTGTGGGTTCCTTCTTCTCAGGGATCTGAAACAGATATGGCTTATACCTTCAGTGTTTAAGCGCTTCTCAGACTTACCTTCTTCTCTCTTGGCAGAATGAACGATGATTTTGGAAGTTCTGCCATAACCGCTTCTTCCACATGTTTACGGTTCAGCTCCCAAATTTTGTTGAATAGATACTGTGCATTATTTCGTGCTCGGGATAAAAGCTTTTCTCTGAAATGCACGAACCGTGAAACGACAAATATGAAGAGATGTTGAGTAGTACGAGCTAATGAACTCACGACGCATCCCCTTCAATATTGTCGCGATCAACGATGACTAGATGACCAAGATCGACAAAAGGATCGATGATTTTCTGCACCGTTGTAGGCCTCGTCTCAAAATGTGGCAGTAATTCCATCTGTAAAGAGTAACGGCGTTTTCGAGTGCGCTAGTCCCAGAATAGATGATATCTTCTTCAGCAAATTGATAAACATGTGCTCGTAACACAGTTTAACCTTTTAGAACATGAAGAATCGTCGAAGGAAAAGAATAATGATGCTTAATTGCCGTGAATTCTGATGACGCTCGCGACCGCATCGCGGCCCGCCGTCTTCGATACGAGCGCGCAAACTTTGAACCTAATCAACCCAGTAATATCGCTTGTCATGCTTAGAAGCACGTTCATCTGGAATTTGCTTTTACTCGCACTTATTGGTGGAATTCTTGCGACTAACGATGATTTCGTTGGTCCGCTTCGCTTCTTAGGACGGCAACCTAAAGGATATTCGTCGACGACTGCCCCGTCCCGTGCAAATACACCACCTTGGGCGTGCGCCTTAGGGCCTTTCCAGCTTGACAGTACGCTGCAGCGCGCGGGGACTTGGTAGCTCGCAGCATCCCTGTCCTTTCCCTGTCCTGTCCTGTCAAGCTGGAAAGGCTCCAAAACAGCACGCCCACGGTGGTGCAATTGCACTAGTTGGGGCAGTCGTCGCCAAATATGCTTTATCAATTTCATGCCTTATATACCTAGCAATGGCTAATATTAGCCATTGTACATCATTACAGAGTGGAAAACAGTAAATATAAGGGAAATGTTCTATTACTCAGGTAAGATGAGAATAATCTTGTTTCCTTATAATTATCCGCGGATGGGGATGTCGACCATACAACCATCGTTGGAGATCCCACGACCACTTCCTCAAAGCTGCAACAACTCCATCGCCAGCCCTCCATAAACGCTGCTACCATCACACCTTAGCTCCTCCCCCCCCACTTGCTCGTGCTCGTCACGTCACCGTCACCTTTCCGGCCCTGCCCTTGGTTCCCCTGCCGCTCCACTATTATTCTATCCTACCGCCGCTGGGCGACCAGGTTCGATACTGAAGGACGACGAAGGGAGATGGCGCCTCGGGACCGTTGTGATATATTAATGTGTGTTCATTTTCGTTATGCTTGTTCATTTGTGGTGGCGCAGGAGTGTCGTGGGAGATCGCACAACCAAGGCTGTTTTGCCTTCTGAAATGCTTTTCTATTTGTTAAAATCGCTCATGTTGATATGATTTATATTTTCCCATGCATTTGGCTTCTTTTTCTGTGTAATGTTTCCAGTGCTCTCTATATATAAAGGCGATTGAATTGATGAAGGTAGACTAAAGAATAAATCCTATCACTGAGTCTTCATCTGCACAAAATGATGTTGCTCACCACCAAACCACAAGAAGCGCTCGCAAGCTCTACCATTGCGACAAACACTTCTCAAACAATTGGGAGGATGAGTGCATAGCCATCACTAATGAGTTGGTCTCTTATCAGCCTTCATGGCTTTTAGGTCAAGAACTAGGTCACTTGGTAGTATATAAGGGGATAGAGTAGAGTTTAGTTTCTGGTATGCGGTCTGCTTGCCAAAAAATTATCAATGTTTGGGTGAGCGCGAGTATCCTACTATAATAACGCGCTAAGGCCGTCTGTTTTTTTGTGTGTCTGTCTGTGTGTCTGTGTGAAAATCTGTCTGTCACGAAATTCATAGAGGAAGCTGCAACTAAGCTATCGCGCTGCAATTTTGCATAAAATACCGTGCCAGCGTGTAGGCCCACCATGCACAAGGAGGACCCGGTTCGATAAGCGGGTCCCTCAAAATTTGCGCGTCAAATGGGTCCACTCGCCTTTTGGCATGCAAAACTGGGTAGCTAATTCGACTTTTTGCAAAGTTATAATTTGCCTGACAAGTAACTCTGCGCGCCATGAATTCAAGCCCAAAAAGTGCTCAAAAAGTTTGCTTTTTTGCGAAAACAGCGCCAAAAAGTGATGAATGCGTAGATAGTCGATTTGGCAAGGTTTTATCTAAAAAGACTGAAACGATTTTTGCACTGGAATGTAGCCCAAGGTGACTATTATCCTTGAGACGATTATCAAAGTAAAGTAAATTCAGTAATCCGTTCAAATTCACATTTGTTTCCTCGCAACAAAGTTTTTTTTTCTTAAAATAACCGATCTTACATGGAAATGCTTCATGAATGAACGGTTGTTTACGATTCATTTGTGATGCTCAGCATCGCGTGGTGAGTTTCAAAGCCATTCTCATGCGAACATGAGAAAGGCATAAGGACAGGGAGCCAGTGCGAACCTCCGCGAAGCGGAGGTGACGCACTGGTAATCATTAATTCTGTAGCTCTTGATTTACTGACTCACCTAACGTCATTTCTGAGTCCTGATGCGGTTTTTGACGGGATAATTTACCTATGCATTCGACAGTTCCAGACTATGAAGAAGAAGATACAGCCCAGACGTTAGTCATTGAAGAAATAATACCGGTGTGAAGCATTAGAACTGCTGATAGTTCAGATGTTTCTGAACCATCAGCAGGTGTGAGTATGCAGTAGTTCTTTAGCAGGTCCACTTAAGTGTGAGTATGCAGTAGTTCTTTAGCAGGTCCATTTAAGTAATACTTTCCCTCTTCTTTCAATATATTCAAAGGTACCGTATGTTGTCATCGGAGTAGACAGGTCTTACTTGCGGGCATACGCCGTTGGCAGAAGACGACTGCAGCTGTTGAGAGATGCCCTGTGGGAACTGATATGCAATTGCGAAGAGATACCCGATGGGGGGTAACACTTGCGAACAGGTCATGTGTGTCATATAAAAAGCAAAGGCGTGCAGGAGATGGTACCGTCGGCATTACTTCTGATAATTACTTTTACATTATTCCGCCATCTCTTTACAATGCGATAATCTTCCCTGGTTATTTTCGGCACCTATATTATATCTTTTTCGGTTCTCCGAGCAGTTTGCTGTAACAATTTTCCTCGCTCCTATCGATACTGAAAATTTTCCCATCACAGTTGGTAAGAGGTTCAATAACTAATTTGCATAAAGGATGTAGAGACAAACGCGATTATTACAGGGACACCCGCCAGGTTTACGGTGGAAATGGGTTTCTCAAGAGTTGGAAAACATCCAGTCGCTCTATATAGAATCCCAGGTACGAGCAGTTACACCTTTACTTTTGAAAGACAATCAAGAAACCATGCTCTATACCAATGCCGGCAGTGCAATAAACGTGGAAAGAAACTAGCGTCAAGGTGAGATTTCTTCAGCGTTCTGTTAATATGCGCTTGGAAAACTGTCGCGTATGCTTTTGACGTTTTAGAATTTGTGAGATGATTTCGATTCGGATCCATGCGCAGACCACCATCCCGAGTGCGTTCCCATACGCACAGCCAAAGGCGTGGTAAACAGAGCTGTATACCAAGTAAGAATTCATTTTCAAATCTGAGAAGAAAAAAGAATTGGACTTGACTATGCACATATTTTAAGTTTGATCTTGGAATAAGAGCGGATCCGACTTTCGCCCATAAGAAAGCGAAACCAATGTGACACGAGCAGATGAAAGTGGTCAAAGAGAGGCCGATCAAGGTAAGTAGGTGTCACAATAAAGTAAACGCATGAACAAAGTATTATTGATCTTTCAGAACCTATCCTACTTGATGAAGTGGTGGCCTAGCGCTAGAAATTGGGCATAGTCTTTAGAAGAAGAGCCATCAAGAAGTAAAAGTTACTTGATTGTGAACCATCACATAAACATTTTGATTACAGGGCGATCAGATCACATGTAGATGCACTTGAACAAGCTTTCATGAAAGAAATTCCAGAACATCTCCGCATTTGCCCGCTGGAAGCCTTTTTGTGCACTGCATGGAGTCCAAATTGCATATTATTACAATTGCAAAACACAGATATGCACTTATTAAATCATGAAGATGTGCCTTTTTATCCACTTTTCAGAAGGCAGCACGTAATAGACTCCACACGCTCGTGGCTGACGGAGTGCACTCCTTCGGGCCCCGTCAGCTGAAGAAGACAGGGAGTTGTCACCATCCATGGGGTGTGCAACAGGTGTCGAAGTGCCGTTGCTCTACGTGATTTCCCTGAGGAAAACAGAGCAGGTTTGCATAGCCACTATTCAGCATCTAAATGCTTAATATCAGGTATCAGTCAACCCATCCCCTCGCCGTATCGTCTTGAACTATGAACGCGCGTCCGTCAATGCAGCAGGCAGGGTAAGCTTATCAAGATATCAACGGTGATTTCCTCATTAAAAATCATAGTTGCAGGTATTCCCTAAGGCTACGGTATAGGGCTGCGCTTTCCACTTAGCGCAGGCCTGGAACCGACAACGCGACAGATGCGGTCTGAGACCGTTTTTGGAGGGCACGCAAAAATCCGACAAAGTGGCTGAATGGTGGGACACCATCAAAGGATTGGTGTTTTTGCCAAGACGTCCACATCGCGAAGTGCGCGCCTTTAACGCGCCGCCTGTTTCGGAAGAACACCCGGCCTTCGCGCCCTGCCGGCTGTTTCTCTCGTACTTACGAGAGACGTGCTACGAAGAATGTTTGCCGACTTGTGGGACAAGCATGGAATCGAGAAATTATTTACTATCAACCTAGCAGAGGCTTACCACCGGTACGAAGGCCTTCACCTTTCGAAAACAGCAATTACTTCTTTCTTTACAGCCAGCTAAACACTCTGGTGGAAGCGGATTATACTCTCCTGGGAGAGCTGATTGGGGTCTTTCGTAACCCCGACAGTGAAGCCGAATCGGCCTTGACGACGCTGAAGCAGGTATACTTCTTCCGTGAAAAAAGTCAAGATTTGAGCCTCTTTTACAGAATCCAGCACACGTGATACGTCCGGGCCGAGGACCTGGAAAGGCGAAAAAGTATAGCTTCCGAGATGAGAAGGTATTACAAAAGACTTTGAGATTTCATCGTCAGTAGTTCTACAAGTCTACAGGTTCACTGAGCAGTACAACAATGGGATTACCGCGAGTTCGGGTGGAGGAGTACTGCTGAACGATGTCCAGGTTTGTCTCTGATAAGACCGTTTGACTGTTATTTCAGCATATTTGCTATTATTGTACACCAATCTTTTGCTTGTTAACCTTTATTCATATGCAACATAAATATGTATATATTGTACAGTGTATACGTATAGAGGGTGTCCCAAAAAATGTGAACACTGTTTGATTGTTAATAACTCTCTTGCTTTCATGTCTTTTGCCGAGCTTAAGGCACCGTTCTATGGAGCAAGGTTCAACTTAGATCTACAGTATGAAGCGAATCATCTATCGCTCTTTATTACTGTAGGATTACGGTAGGAACTTCGACAAAGACTTTAGGCCACTGGAGGCCATATTCTCCTCGGAACAAAACCAAACAAGCCAAAAGCTCTTATACTATGGTAATGGAAGTTGGTGATTTCGAATATGAAATTTTCACTTTACTGTGATGCTTCTTTCCAAGGTTATCCCAGGTAAATCGTCAATTAAATCTCCAGCATTTGTCAGAAAGGTGATTACACCGTCAAAAAAGCTAATAACACTTATAAAAAGTTTTGTAATGGAATCACCGTGCGCGAAAATCCTACTACACGATTTTTCAGATTTTTTGAAAAAAAATTTGTCAAATGGCTTATTTCACAATAGATCCAAGCTAGAATTTCATACCGTAATCCTACAGTAACGAACGCAGATCGGTAATTCTCTCCATACTACGAATCTAAGTTGAACCTCGCTCTACAGAATGGTGCCTCAAGCTCGGCGAAAGACATGAAAGCAACGGAGTTATTAACGATCAAACAGTGTTCCCATTTTTTGGGACACCCTGTACATTGCATGCGCATGTACATTTTGTAAACAATTAAAGTTTTTTTTCAAACACGTCCACATACCGCACAGAACGGTTACCATAGTAAGCAATGCTAAATTCCTTCCAGGAATGATATCCACGAAAGTCCATAATGGAGGAAAATGGACTTTCAAGCCCCATTTTATTCGTTCGAGGTGAAGAGTGGTCGGAATCTGCCTTCGCTCGCGTTATCCAAAATTTTTTATCCCATCGCAACCACGAGGCAAAGCGGTGTGATGAAAATGATTCAACCTTACTTGAACTCTCGCTTGCGAAAGAATCATGCGAAAAGTCCACTTAAAATGGGGCAAAATAAGATTTACCTCTACTTTAAATGGACTTGAAAGCCCATTTTACTCCCAACAGCAAGGTGAGCTGGGACTAAGCCCATTTTTGACCTTTTGGCATGTTTCTGATGGCGATTTTTTGAGAATGTGTTCCTAAGCCCATTATAAGGTAACAAGTGAGTGGAAAAAGTTTCATGTCTTTTAGAAAATCTGAAATAACTGTTTCTTTCTGAACTCACAACGTTGTAAAACTCATGGAAAGAGGTGAAATTCACCAAAATATTCGCTAATAAACTCAAGTGCTTCCAAATATTAGGTCGGTGCGAAAATTCCTATGTAAATCAAATAAAATTTGTTAACTCTTCAAATCATCAACGAAAACTGAATTCATGATTTGTATCTGAAAATAAAAAAGATCTGCGTTTCAATATAATTACTCAGAAACATCTTTTGACTAACCTCGCAGAACCGAATCTCAAAGACGGCATTTTGAACGCGATTTTAAGTTTGGTCGCAAGAATTACTAAAATGGCGCTAGCTAGCAAAAAAAATTCTGTGCAAAATTTCTTATTAGCAATAATCTATGCATTCAACTACTTAGAGATATAAACATTAATCCGAAAGACAAAGAAGAGCTAATAGAACATTTGAGAAGTCATCTTTTGCAGATTCGTAGTTTTTCCGACTTAAGAAACCTTTTGGATTGTAGCGCAGTACAAAGTTGCCTATAAGGTAAGCATTATAATTCACAGATTCCAGTGAAAGTCTAGCCAAAGTTTGCTTTCTGCAGAAAGCTCTACCTAAGAATCGAATTTGACTCAAGCAGATTCATAGGAGTTTTGAAAGGCCAAGGGCCGGATTCTGCATGAATTTTGGTTTTGAAAGTGATTTAGATGCATAGTCATCGATAATTTTGTGAGGTGTAAAGAAGCGGGAAAGAATAAAATATCCACGTGACTGACACTTAATGTTAGCTCAGCCTAATTAGATACCGACCACTTGGTGGAAATGAGTTTGCAAGAGTGAGCAAACAGGTTGAGGCAAGTTGAAGAAAGGTTTGCATGAAGTTTTGTATGGAATGAATTTCGCGAATGCGATATCTTATCGCACCGATGGACTAAGTCCATTTTAGGCCCCGGACAGACTTCACGCGACTCAATCGTCGCGATCTAATCGAGATTTCCATTCATTTTGCTTTCACATTCAAAAATCTCGGGCTGGAAAAGTATCACAACCGAAATGCAAGCTGGTCGGCATGGAATGATGTTGTAACAGTTGTCTTGTCGCGATTCAGTCGCGACAATCAAATCGCGTGAAGTCTGTCCGGGGCCTTATTCGCACGAAAAGCCAATTTCGCGGGGACTTTCGTGAATATCATCCCAGGAAAGCGCAATGCATAATAGCATCATGCTTCTCTACAAAATGCGGTTAGATTTTAGAAATCTACTGCCCAAACAAAAGTTGAACTCATACAACGACACAAGAAAACTATGACACGACATTAGAATTGATTATAGAAGAGCTTGCGCCGCTTCGAGGTAAGGTGTCACCAAGTCAGGCAAGATCACCTGCCAGACCTCATGAGCAAGCTGGCGATATAGCGAAGGCGCGAAGAAACCTTTCCACGTAGAAGTTCGTGAAGTTCATATGTCAACAGATGACACGACCTACACTCACCTACAGAGGCTCGCATCCACAGAGGACCTAACGCCACACCCATCCAACCCTACCACCAGCTACTGCAACCGATAAACCAGGACAATTTGTTGCAAAACTATTGCCTAAGAATTAAATAATTGTATAGTTCATTTATAAAATCGTGTCGACGAGTTTTACTGCGGACTTTACATCCACAGAAGTATAAAACTCACTCATACATGAAGGCAACACCTTATTGTTCAGATCAGTCACTTCTAGTGTCTGATTATTACCATACGCAAAAAAACCATTCGGCCAGATGAAGACCAAGAAAATACGATTTCCGCAAGTGGCGTGCGTGTCGCGTGCTCGCGCCATCGTCACGATTTTTCAAATGCCCTGTACTTCACTATACGTTCCCAAATGTGATCGAGTGAGAAAAGAATATTTGAATGGCGAGGGAGAAGCAAGAGTGATGAGAAAGCGGAAGGTGGAAAATGTGATAAAAGCGCAAGGCAGAAAGAAATGTGAAAAGATGAAGAGTTACGGGGAAACTTGGAACGAAGCGAGGGGGACAATGATGGAGATAAAGTCAGAAAGAGGGGAAGTAAGGCAAGTGAGAGAGGAAGGACCCAATGCTAAAAGAATATAAAGTAGACATTAACTTCGAAATTATTTTACAATGGTTTGCAGGGTACCAGTGTAAATTATAACTGTTTTATTTTGTACTGCAGAAGACGCTGTGCGGATAAATACAGTGAACACTGATATTATGATAAAATCAATACGAGCTGTTTGGCAAATAAATTACTGTACATACAAACAAGTAAAATGCATGAATTATACCAAAGTCTTACTACTGCGAGGCAAAAACACCCATCCTTGAGTAATATGTAGAAACATTTCTAAAAATTATATCAAGCGATGGCCATTTTATACCCCTACAAAAGTTACAGTTGCACTTCTAACTACGGCTGTGGAGTAAATATACTGACTAGGTTTGACTTCTCAACTAGCACAAGATTTCATCGTTAGAAGATCGAATTTCGATGGAGTGTATGATGAAATTGGCCGGACCAAATTGTTCGGCTTTATCATGGTAGAGAACAACAGCGAAACGCTGCGCGCCTTCATCTAGTGGAAACATCACCGTCTTCCTCTCCGCTGTTTCAACTTTTGGACCCATCAGCTCTTGGCACGAATCCGATTCGCTGGAAAATTTTTGGTGATTAAAAACACAATATAGTATATAGATATAGTGCTACTCGATGCTGATAACATGCATGGAAAGAAATCGCTGCGATTATAATGCCGACAAATATTTCGAGAAAATGACCACAGTGCGCGAATTTTCGCGTTCTGTTCCCATGGCCACTTATACGAGCAGTTGTTGCCGGCACCGCAGAAGCACTAGCAAGCATAGGCTATTATAGTACAGCTATAATTCCAACTTACCTTGTTATATCTGGGCAAAGTAACACCCGAGATCCAAAAGTAGCTTGCGTTATGGTAATGTTTAGCATGAGGGGTGATGGCAGATCAAATTTGGCACTTCTAAGGATTGCCCGATGTCGAACCATGTCCAAAGTAGCTATGGCACCTCAACAACAATTTCGCTGTAAATCTTATATATAAAGCTGAATGTCTGTTTGTCTGTCTGTCTGTCTGTCTGTCTGTACGTATGTTCCGAATAGAAAATTCCATTTCTGAACCGATCCGGACCAAACTTGGCACACATACACTTCGGGCCCCGGCGGGTGTCATAGGCTACTTTTCGTCATCGATCGATATCGATTTTATCGATTTTTATCGATTTTTTGCTGAGTTCACCTACGGGGCTGGGAGTTGGCACAGGGGGGTAATCGAGCATGGGGATTCCGAATACAATATTGGTTTTCAGGATTATCAATTACTTTTATCGATTTTATTGATTTTTTTGCAAAGTTTGAGCTAGGGGGCTGCGAGTTGGCACAGGGGGGTAATCGAGCATGCTGATCACTCCCAAGGGGGGTGATCAGCATGCTCGATTACACCCCCTGCCAAATTCCAGCCCCCTAGCTCAAATTTTCAAAAAATCGATAAAATCGATAAAAGTAATGGACGATCTTGAAAACTAATATTGTATTCGTAATCTGCATGCTCGATTACCCCCCTGTGCAAACTCCCAGCCCCGCAGGTCAAACTTTACAAAAAATCGATAAAATCGATAAAAGTAATGGACGATCCTGAAAACTAATATTGTGTTCGTAATCAGCATGCTCGATTACCCCCCTGTGCAAAATCCCAGCCTCGCATGTCAAAATTTACAAAAAATCGATAAAATCAATAAAAGTAATCGATAATTCTGAAAACTAATATTGTATTCGGAATCCCCATGCTCACTTCCCCCCTGTGCCAACTCCTAGCCCTGTAGGTGAACTCTGCAAAAAAATCGATAAAAATCGGTAAAATCGACATCGATCGATAACGAAAAGTGGACTGTGACACCCGCCGGGGCCCGAAGTGTATGTGTGCCAAGTTTGGTCCGGATACGGCGGAGCCGGGTAAGCCAGCTAGTCATCTAATAATCCAAGAAACGAGGTGGATCTGCAAGATTTCCCAAAAGTTTTCAAGCTTGCTTCTTCTTCAGTGGAGATTGAACGAAGCAACATATAAACACAAGAAATTTAGTACGCTCCTAACTCAAAATATCCTTTCTTTGGCCCTCATAACACCCTTGAACGCTTAAGGGACGCATCCACCTTAACAAATAGGTTGTTGACGTTAAGATCTTTAAACGTTTTGAATTTCATGTAGTGCTCATGCTGTCCTAACTGAAGAGAAGCAGCGCACGCTTTGCTCTCCAAGACTTGCCAGACAGAACTTGCGGGTATACAGGGCTCCTAAATTGCAGAGTCGTTTGCACCAGCGGTCGCGCGACCGCGTCGCGCCCGGACATTTTGCCGGCGCGGGCGCCATCGATCGAGGCGGCGCCATTGATGCCCGGGCGCGACGCGATCGCGCGACCGCTGGTTTGGACCGACTCTGCAATTTAGGAGCCCTGTAGATCTTAAAGGCAGTGTCCAAGCAAAAAGTCGATTTTGAAATTTTGTGCTTACCTGGGCCTATTCGCCATGCTGAATCCGATAAACCATAATGGAGAGCGCAAAAACGCCAAAAAAGGCCCTAACGCGGGAGGGAAGTCGCGGGTGGGCGGGGCCGTTCACACCGCGACGTCACTCTCCCAGGTTTCAGGTGGGATCTTCTCGGTTTCGATTTTATGTCATGTGTTTCGCAGTTGGGTGGTGGTGATGTTAGTGCGGTTAGCGGAAGCGAGAAGATCGCTCCTGAAGCTGGGGAAGTGGGAAATCACCACTATGTGAACAGCCCCGCCCACCTGCAATTTCCCTCCCCATTAGAGCCTTTTTTCGCGCTCTCCAGTGGTGATTTTCGGATTCAGCATAGCGAATAGGCCCAGGTAAGCACATAATCTCGAAATCGACTTTTTGCTTGGACACTGCCTTTAAGCGGGAAGACCATTCTTTGTGATCATGGCAAAACTGACCCAGATCATTTTTGTACAACTTGTGTTTGTGAAATGTTTGTGAAAAAGTGCGGAGTCCTACTAGTCCATGTCATCCGTTAAAATGGATCTGGCTCCAAGGACATGCTTCCTTCAAAAGAATCTGTTCTGACCAATATCGCGCGTTCACTTCCATTCCTGGATCGACAGAAACGAGTGGCGCCTTGCCGGATAAGTAATGGCGGCCCAAACCATTACTTGATGATGGCTTGATGCACAGCGGTCACGCAAATTAGGGCTGCCTGAACCAAATGGAGCTAAATTCTGTCGTTTCGCCAATTGCAGGTTTGCTCTACTGTGTACACCTTCTCATCCGTAAGGCCCCGAACAGACTTCACGCGATTTGATCGTCGCGACTCAATCGCCGACATTTCCATTCATTTTCATTTCACATTCACACTTTTCGAGCTGGAAAAGTACCACAACCGAAACGCAAGTTGATCGGCATGGAATGACATTGTGACAGTTGTCTCGTCGCGACTCAATCGCGACGATCAAATCGCGTAAAGTCTATCCGGGGCCTGAGAAGGATGTATTCATTGTCGGCCGACCCAAGTTGTTTCAAAATATTACGGTATCTCTGAAGTCGAGTAGCCTCATTCGTTCTATTCAGGCATGACTCTTTTGTGTCTTCCTGCACAGTCTCCAGCGCTTTTCACAGTTCGCTGCCCATGACTGGTATCCAGCTCTCGAGCCATTTTTCTGCCGTTTCTCTTGCAATTCGTGCACATATTTTTTGGAAACCCCAAACCATCTTTAGATTGACGACAGTCGCCGGCTTTAGGCTTCTGGGAATGGTCTTAGATGCCGCTCATACTTCGAACGATTTCGGAGAAAAGTAATACCGTTACGTACGTTCCCAGAAATTCTCTCGATCTGATTTTGGAGAACTATGTATAGGCCGTCCGCGCTGATCGCGGAGAGTGCTCAAGGTGTGTACTGCGCGCCACTCCTCTTTCCTCGTGCATTCTCGCCGACTGTTTTTCTCTGCGTCTCTTCCAGTCATGAAGTACCTTCAGTGGACGCAACCGCGTTGCTCTCAGAGCACAGCGCGGACAGCCTATAGACACAACAGCGCAATCGTGTCGTATTCTGTCTTCAGGCCATAACTTGAGAATGAGCCAAGCAAACCTCGTGATTTCAAGAATTGTTAGCACAAATTTTTTACAGATGTTGACAAAACTCGACTCGGAAAGGACAAGAAGCAAAGTTGGAACTCCGCTTGTAAGATAAGGACTCAAGAATTTTAGTATTGTGGGCAATCGCTTACCAGTAGGTCCTGGAAGCAGCGGCGCATCGTCCTCCTTGTTTATGGGAGACTCATAGTTGCAGAGGCCGTCTAGGTGAAGAAATAATGTTAAAGGTGGATCGTATTAGTCAAATGCTGTTTTATGGTCAATTTTGTAGATACTGTTAATCAAAAGTTTGCCAATTTCTAATTTGAATCAAATATGGAGCATAGACGAGTCACGGAACCCAGAGAAAGGACGCATGGAGTTGTAAAAAGTGCAGATCAATTCCTCTAGTGTGGTCATAGGCATTTTCAAGTTCCAGAATAAAATGAAGAAGTAAAGCGTAATTTTTTCTCTATTTATGTCCATGTGCATTCAAATTCATAACAGATACCTACCTCTAAAATCACACATCAACTTTTCGCAAACGAGTTCTTGCATGGATTTAAGTGGGCAGACATCACCAGAAACGGAGATGTCACTAATCACAACGACAGCATTTTTGTGAGAAGCAGCTTCAATGGAAAACTAAAAAAAAATAAAAAATGAAAAAATTGGAACTTTTCCAAAAAAAATTTTGTTACAACCTCAAAAGGTGTTGTTGATGTCGCTACAATCGTCATTTCACCAAATAATTGCGATCCATCCACACACTGTTCTAGAGCACAGAGGCGAACGAGCCCGTGCTCGGATCTGCAAAAATATTCAAAATTTTCCGACTTGATCTGTAGACAAGTTTGGCTTCAATTAAGCTTTCGCAGGGGCCAGTAGATCAAATTTCCAACCTCATATAGGTTACTGTAACTGAAGCGTTTTTAGCGCAAGAGACCTCTCTTGAGCGTAATCGCGACGTTTTCATTCCTTCCAAAACAAAGGTTGCTACATTGCCTAAAACTTAATGTTCAGCTAAAGAGAGAATGGAGCTCCCAAAACTTACCTGTCATCCCGGGTGGGACTGGGAATTTTTCACTGTTTCTTGGAACTACACCATAAGCAACCATGCCGTCATCATTTACCCACTGACTACAGTAATCTTGTGAAAAGTCACAGTTTAGATCGCTCGGATATGGTGTGTTAGCTCCAGGTCCTTGTTGTAGTCCAAATAGGGACACGATCTGAAAAAAAGCGGGGATATATCTAATAGCCCAGTAGTTCTAGCTCTTCAGGTGATTTTGGATGTTTTTGTCCTTGAGTGTAAACCAAAGAAACAAGTTCAATTTGGTTTCCGCCAAGATATGGGATTACCCAAAACTTGCAAAGTTGCGCGCAGAACCCCCCCCCCCCCTCTCCCTTTAAAAAATTGATCCCGAAACCACTTACCGTAGGTGGATCTATCGTTGTTACTATCGGTGGCGGTTCTTCAGAGCATAATAATCCTTTTAGACGAATCTCTGAGATTGCCACTAGCCCCAGTGATGTTTCGTCGAATGCGATCATTTCCAAGGTAAACTTAAATTCATTTTTAAAGATTTTTTGAAGACAAAAATAATTATAGTATGTCTCTCGCGAATTCCCTTTCGCGCGCAGCTACGCACGTGCAGCTCAAGGACTACGCGGACCTCCGTTGTTGAGGCTATTTGGCCGAACATGACCGCGAACGCTACGCAAGGCACTTGCTATGCGGATGCGCCCATTGAACAGGCACTGCGGTTGAGACAGACTATAACTCATTTGTGACTTTACCCTGAAAGGCTGATCATAAGCATCAACATCTATCTCGATGGGTCCTGGAGAGTCTTCTTCACTCAGATAAGCACAACTCAATGGTACCCCGTCCATATCCACCGAACAGACTTCGACTTGTGTCCCAGCTTTGAGCCAGTACCTGTAGAAGAGGTCAGTTTGGAAAATGCATACTTTGAAATAGATGAGAGGTCCCACTTCATCGAAAGAGTTGTCGTAGTCTGAGTGCAGGGTATGAGTTCACTACGAAGTGTAGCATATCTTCGAGGAGACAGCGAATCCACTGCTAGGAATAAGAAAGTCGTGTTTGGATGTGATTTTTCCATGCCGGCTCCCTGGAAAATGTTCGTTTTTTATTTTCCAGTGGTTGCCTTTTGGATAGAACGACCAGTAACAAAGAATATCAAAACCGAAAAAATTAACCCTCATAGAAACTCTCAAATCCAGTATAAGAGCATCTTTTGTGACACTAGCGAGATAGAGTACTGAAATTATGGAAAGCGGAATTTTTTTGAGAAACTTTCAGATTTTATGATATGTATATCTTTTGGTTACATACGTATTACAATTGTAAAAATAGAAAAATAGGAAAAAGGACTAAAAAAGGGAGCTAAGGAAAACAATTAATTGTTCTAACCTCAACTAGTTCCTTCCACCTCTCGATATTACGACCGATCCGCCATTCTGATATAGTAGATTCAGCATTACTCCATCTATAAAATAATAAACTCAGACTGAGAGAAAATTATCAAAAATGTTTATTTTACCTGCATTTTGATCGAGGACGGTCGCAGTCCAAATCGGACATAGTCCTAATTGGCAGCGAAGGTTTCGGTACTAATGGTATTGACCCAAAAATTGAAGGAAATGCTGAAAGAAATTTTTCAAATAGTGTCAAAAATTGAAAAATGGGCCTACGAGATTCTCCACAGATGTCCGCCCGATAAGTGATATTCTTAAGCATAACCATACTTCCAACTACATTATCCTAAAAAGCAGGTTATTATGAAAGGTCAACAAAAGACTATTTTTACCTTAAGATTAAAAGCTCGTATGGTTAAGCGGAAAGGTTCGTTGACAGAAGGAATATTCACGACGCAAATATCGTTGCCAGGTCGTAGAATATGACAGTTGATTTTTGGACGAAATAGTGTCTGGAAAAAAATTGTGTTTCTACAATCATTCATTTTATTCAAATTCAACGTAAGTGCACCGAATAAAGAAAGATAGCAAAAAGTGATGAGACTGCAGAAAAATATAATAGATTATGTAACGAAACAATTGCAAAAATATTCAACAAATGCTGAGTAAAAAAATCAGTTTTTTAGGAGAAGACTATACATTGAAACCATAATTTTTCAAAAGCGTGATAATTTGTACTGTTTATCAAGAACCAGCTTAAAATACACTCAATCTTTGTTCTCAGTCTTTACGGGTGAAATGAACCTCTAAAGAGAAAGAAAATAATTTTTAATTTGTGTTTTTTTTTCAATAAGTTAACTTTTTTGACTAACCTGTAGATGTCTTCTCCGATGTGTGGCTCGTACTACAATCACCTCTATCCTAGCTTGATTATACAACCAGTAGCTGAAAGTATCATGTTGTAGTAAATTAAATCATTTTCTCGCATAATTTTTGGGATACAATTCCTTCAAAAAATCAAAAATTAATATGCAAGAAATTTTCAGGAACGAATGTGAAACAAAAACTAGAGACCAAAAAATGTCTTTGTAAATATAATTAGACACTCACTGGAATGTCAAGTTTCCAGCTTTTCGTTGACATGCTATTGGTGCACTTACTAAAACGGCACTGTCCGCAATATTTGTTGTGTTTCCGGCCAAGAGCAAATGTGATCCTAAAAAGGAAATTTTTGAACCATAGTTCCATTAACATTGCAAACACATATTCCAGGGATAATCTTGTAAATGGCTTCCAATTTCCAAAAAACTAAGGGATTTTCTTTATGGGACTTGTCACCATGATTTAAAGTTTTTTTTAAATCTGTTTTTTTAACTATTCAAAATTACTCCGTTGATAGAAAATAAAGATGTGTAATCAACACCTTCAGCAATATCAGCTCGCCCAGGTTGAATCTGCACAGGGAGGAGCTTATTGTCTGTTTTCTGCAATCAAAAAATTGTAATTTCAAGTTTTTTTAAAATCTGTCTAAGCCAACCTTGAAATACCAAAAGTCGGATGTGTCCAGCAAACCATCGCTGGGTGCATTTCTCCACAAACATTCGCTTTCTAAATCGCAATCCAGAGCTTCCGAAGTGGAGATATACGAGGCAAATTCGGAAGATTCTAAATGAAAATTTGAGATCTACGACTGATGAAGGCTGCTTGGTTAAACCAAGCGAAGACCGAAACAAACGATTCTGAAAACGTGCACATTTTTTGAAGGTTTAAAAATGTTGCTGAAAACTTGCAACAAACAAACAAAAAAACGATTTTTGATTGTGGAGGATTGAAATAGTTGTTGTTGGTCATAATAATAATGAAAACAAACAAGCTAATGCCCAACAAGCCTCTGCCCAGCTTCTGAATCAAAGAACAGATATAGGAACAGCCGGAGAATGAAACTGCAGATTTTCCCTTTTTCCTTTTTTTCTAGGGAAGAGGATACCCAGTTCGGGAACGAAAAATAGTTCTATATAAAAAAACCGTCGCGTTCCAAAACTTCCCCGTTTTAACAATTAACATAATAAACGCACGATGAAAGCTTCGTATACATAACCACTTAGTTTGAAAAAACCAACACATATTCGCTTCAATTCTCCAAGGACAACGAAATGCGTTGAAGGTTTTTACGGTTACAATGAGTAAATTGTCCCGAGACTGGATGGAACTGGTCTATTCCTTCGTAGAAATCTAAAGCATTGGAAGAGAAACTATTTTGTACCATATTGATCTCATCCATAGAGCTGGTTTGTGTACGAATAGAAATTTCCAATTACCTCTACATCCTCTTGTAAGAAAATTCTGAGAAAAAGAGGGCAATGTGTAGACAGAAGTATTTCTGGCGAGATAAATGATTATTCTAATCCTAGAAAAAATTTGCCGTTTCAACGCTAATTGCAAGCAAATAAAAGAGCAAGAACTGGTGTCAATGTGCTTCCGTGGCGCAATCGGCAGCGCGTTCGGCTGTTAACCGAAAGGTTGGTGGTTCGAGCCCACCCGGGAGCGAAATGTTTTGCACACCACATATTGTTCCGTACGTCATACAATTTCACAAAAATTCTGCTCCATGGGAGGATCGAACTCCCGACCTCGGCATTGCTTATTCTTATAAGTACCACGCGCTAACCAGCTGCGCCAATGGAGCACGGCATGATTCCTCGTAAAGTAATTTTTCACTCATTGTCAAAATTTACGCTATGAAACGTAGAACTTAAAAATTGCAAATATTGATTTTTTGTAAAATTTTTATGGATTAGGGATGACTGGGTAATGACCAACCTTTAGAGGGGATTTCACCATCGTTGTCGGGTTTGATACCCAAATATAAATCCAAATAACGGAGTTCCTTTTCGAACTGAGGAAGGCATGCATCTACGGACCAAACTGCCAAGATAAGCAGTAAGCCTTGTGATAAGGACATTACCACAACTTAGCCTAAGTCCTAGACGATCTGAAGGCCACTAAAAACCTAAATGCGGTAGGTATACGGTAGTAGATCAACGAAAGTTATGGATTCAAACAGAATGTGATAGAAAGGATTGCAGAAAAAGCTAGCTTCTGCTGATAAAGCAAGCGGCTATTCGCCGAGTGCATTCGATTGAGAGATGACTAGTGGTTGGGATAGAGTGAGAGACGGGTTCGAAGGTTTCCGAAGAGACAATCCCGAGACAGCAAGCCGCATAGCGAAAACACGACGAGTTTCTTTCGTAAGGATGCTATCCGCCGATTTGCTTAGTAAGGGTGCTAAAACCGGTGGAAATGAGGACTGATGCTAGAGCAGTCTGTTGTGGAAATATGTCGAAATAGAAACTCGCAAGCTTATTAAAATGGCATACTTCTAGCGAACAAGTAGGAAAAAACAATACTTCTCTCGATCAGTTAATCCATAATATCAAAAACAAAAAAAAACAAGGAATAACATCCTTCTTTTATCATGAAATAAACTTCATTCCGGTGATAAATTGTCTCGCACCAATTAACTTGAAAATTAACTTGACCTTCTATTTTTAAAGAATTAAATTGGTTGTCTAGAGAGGAAGTTGCATCTTCCTGGATCAAGACAAAGACCAATCACGCCAGAGCTGGAAAAAAGACAAGAAAAAGAGATTCAACTCCTATTTTCTGGATTTGTAAAATTTGATTCCTTTAGCTATGACCTGCTCATCCTACCTAACAAGTATTTGTGCTGATCACATGTCTCTATGAACAGCTATAATTCATCAAAATTTTCAACTTTCTTATTTCCAAATAAAATATGTGATTTATAAATTCAAGGCCAAATGGATACATAATAAATATACTTCTCTAAAATGTTAAATTTACCCCATGAATTTACCCAAATGAGGAACTTTTATGATTATTGAATGAACCTACGATAAATCAGCCCATCAAAGGCTTTTTTCTCGACTTTACGCAATCTTTTCCTAGCAATTCAAATATTACATAACTACTAGATAAATTCACAACTTTGTGGACACGAGAAATTTCCACATGAACAACAGGGGTCATGAGGTCTGGTCATTTTTGCATTCATGTCGAGCTTTCCAATTCTTCGAAAAAAATTTCCAGTACAAACAGTAAACCTTGGTTGACAGAATCATCCTTCTTTATACCATAGCACTCTTTCTTCTTCATTCGAATAGTTGATAAAATAGGCGAAGTTTTCAGATTTCGCCCGTATAAATTGCAACCGCGCTTCACACTCTCTTTTTTGAGCTCTAGTGACACTCCAGATCGTATGCGTATGCATTCTAAGCCTTTATCATATTACGCTTTTTTGTGGTTGAGTCTTCTCAATCACATCGTCAAAGCAAATATCGTCGCTGGCTTTGGTTCCCAAGCAACCCGTAGCAGCACACCATGCGTGCCTCTATAGCTCAGTGGCAGAGCGTCTGTCTTGTAAACAGAAGGTCTGTGGTTCGATCCCGCATGGAGGCATTTCTTTTGCATACAATGAATTGAGCTACTGCCACTGCATTATGCAAAGCACTGATGAATCAAAGTACAAATACTTATTTATTATGAGAATAACATGCAATGAATGATAAAATTTGAATAAAAAAGCTCATTCTTTTGAGATTCACGGTAAAACTTGAAACTTGAGTAAGTAAAACAAACGTTCCTGAACGAAAAAATAATGTCCAACCCTCTACTTTTTCTCTCCAGCTCGTTGCAGCCTTTTGGCTAACCGTGCTCTTTGCAATTTGTATAGCACTGTGTCATTGTCAGAATCCAGTTCACGATGTCTAGTGTAACCATCGGCAGCATGGCTCAATGCATAAGAAGTTGTGTCTATCATCTGTCGGGCTAAAATAAAGAAAACAATAAGATTATAAATAACAAGAGTAGCCAAGAACCAACCTGCAGTTAAAATTCTTTCATCATTCAATCTATTCGACTTCACGACAGGAACAAAGTCACGAAGCTGACTGACTTCTTGGAAAGCACCAATCAACGTGTTCAGACGATGAATTATCATGCCTGCACGCAATCCGGAATAATGGAAGGATGAAAATAAACTGATATTTTACCTATGGTCTGCACAACCAGTATACCCAGGAGAAACACGATAATCGTCATTCCTAGCGGATCAATTTTGAGAGGATCCTTGGTCTCTTCATACTGTCCAGTCATTTCATTCATTTTCGTCCATTTAAAGTCCTCTAGAATTCACATTTTATTTTTACCGTGTCACTACAAAACGATAAACGTACTATACGGTGTCCAGCGAATGCTCAATACATTTTTGTGCTTCTGGATGAGATAGATTGCAAGTGCTAGCAGCGCATTTACGAGAATGATTGAAAAAGCGACATTATTGCGCAAGGAAGCAAGGCCAGCCGCAATTTCGCTTTGCTCTTGTGGTGTGGATTGCACAGGCTGCAATTGGAATGAATAAAAAAGCAACTATGAAAAGAAGGTAGATAGATGGTAAAGGGTAGAAAATTTTTGCCCACTTTCAGGTACTCTTCAATCAGTTGAGTCCAGAACTGTTCTTCAGCTGCCTTCAGACGTCCACGTTCACACACCTAAAGGACTAAAACTAATTTTACAATATTACAAAAAAAACACGATAGCTTGAGATAGTCATTAGCTGGGGACAATTATGAAAAAAGTGTAGTACGTTGGGTTCCATACAAAAAATTGTTCATATTTAAAGTATGAAACATGACAACCACTACCTGTAGATAATCTCCTTCCATCCACATGTATTTGTCTGCGACTCTCACTGGCTCAGCTTCCACATTCGGTCGTCTAATTTCAACCACCTATGCTTTAAAACTTGTTCTCTGCGAATGAGATCGAACAAAGACGTACGTCATTAGTTCCCTCAGCATCATCCACTTCTCTTGCAATTTTCTTCAGATGTTCCGTGATTTCATCTTTATTTTCGTGTTCTTTCTAGATCACAACTTCGCATGTGAGACCTAATGAAAAAAGAAATGAAAAATCTAGCACCTGCATCTTGCTGACAGATCGCTCCATGCGCTCTAACTTTCGCTCGATTAATTGCAGTGCCTCATCAGGTCTGGCACGAAGAGTAGGACATAATGCGGACCATGGGCCCTCACCTATGCGGCGGAGCCAGCGCTCAAGCGTGGAAGATGTTTCGACCTTCAATCAAAAATGCAAAGTAAGATAAACATAACACTAAGGGCCGCATGCACTAATATCTCCGCGGGGAGGGGATCGCAGCTTCAGAAGAAAGCTTCATATCCTGAAGCTCCGGATATCTGGATTTCACGCTGTCTACCTATCCGTAAGTATTTCTACTACCCTTCACTATGAATATGTTGAACAGGAGCGAGAAACTGTACAAACCGCATTTTCCAGCTTTTATATGGTCCCTGATGATCCCCGGCGCTTTTCTTTAAAGTCATTTTTCTTTCTCCGAAGTTAACGAAAACCTTCTAAAGTTGTACTGAACATCTAAAACAACACTGCTAAGCATGTTGCTGATGAGAACAAATGAGTTTTTGAAAAGTCGAATTTTTCGATAAGCCTCAAATTTCGACCTGTGGATCATCGCAAATTTCATGACTTCAAAACATCATTTGTTCTTAGCAGCAACATGCTTAGCACTGTCGGGTTAGACAATCTGCACAACTCTAGAGATTCTTCGTTGACTTCGGAGAAAGAAAAATGACTTTCAAGAAAAGCGCCGGGGATCATCAGGGATCATACAAAAGCTGGAAAATGCGATTTGTACAGCTTCTCGCTCCTGTTCAACATGTTCATATTGAAGGGTAATAGGAATACTTACGGATAGGTACACAACGCGAGATCCAGGTATCTGAAGTTTCGAAATATAAAGCTTTCTTTTAAGCTGCGATCCCCTCCCCGCGGGGATGTTAGTGCATGCGGCCCTAAAAACTAAGAGTGTTTACCTTCCCGGTTGCCTTTGCAACGGCTTCGCGGGTTCCCCAGTTGATCACATTGAGATTGATTAGGGAATAAAGTGACAGAAATACATAGGTCGAAGGTATCATGAGGAAAAATATGATTCCTAAAATGGAAAATTCAATTTACACTTGTATAGCCTTACCTTTTACCGACCATAGATAATATTTGTGAATTCTTTTGGATGTAAACAGGCAGCAATGAAGAATACTATGACCATCGTCACGATAAACATCGAGGTAGGTGAGATCACAGCTGAACAGAACGCTCTCGAAATAGGATCATGATCATACTACTATGTTGAAAACTAGACTTGCTTTCTAATACAATTTGCGATGCTGTGGCCACCAATACCGCAAGCATTACAAAAGCATAAACAATTGACATAAACTGAAATTCAGACCTCACTCAAGGAGATGAACAAAGAATTCAAGAAAAAAATGAACATACCTTTGCGTAAAAAAGCTGTACATTAGATTCGGTAGTAAAGCAAAGTATGATGAACAAGCTAATAGGGACGCCGTTGTATAGCATCATTCTAGCAGAATCAACCCCAAATGCGGCCACCTGCGTGAAGCATGAATAGAACGAACAAACAAAAAAAAATCATAGAAAGCACTCTGGAGTCGGAAAAATAAATATTAGGTCGTCCCGAAAGTATTTTCGCTTTTTTCAAACAATCGCCACGGTCCGCAGAACAGGCATCTTTAGAAGATCTTAAAAGCATTCGATGCAGTTTTTTATGCTCTTTCAAATGGTCTTCTTTACATTGCAGTTTAACGAACGAGCTCTCAGAAAATTACCAAAAACTGCGACCCACACTTTTTACCAAGGTCAAGTTTCGCTATTTTTCTAAATTCTTGTACTGATTCTTCGAAGAAGCCCAAGTAACCTGCGGATAGAGCAAACCAAGTAGGATACAAAACAATTTCTTTCTCCTTCCCAGAGCTCTCCATAATTTTTTGACAAAATTACAAACAACACTATCGAATTTTAGCAGACTCACACCAGACGAAGACTCGTCAAACTCTAAGAAATTCTCAGTTTTGATACTCTTAAAGATAGATTAAGATTCATTACTAATTTTACAAGACAAATGAGCGTTTCCAGGTTCGAAATATCAGATTTTGAATTTTTCGGGTACATCTTGGGGCACCATCAAAAACATGAATTTTGTCGATTTTGTTTTCTAGAAGCTTACGAATCAGAAGCAAAAAACATGTCTCTGAAAGAGGAGAAGGTGCTGCATCGAATAACACCCGAGTTGCTTTCCGAGTGATGCTCTATGAGGTTCAAGTTGACGAAATATAGAATTTGATAGCATCAAAAAAATATTTCTAAAAATTTTGTAAAGTAAGATTTTAAAGGGGCGGAAATTGTTTTGTATCCTACTTGGTTTGCTCTATCCGCAGGGTACTTGGGCTTCTTCGGGGAACCAGTACGAGAATTAAGAAAAATAGCGAAACTTGACCTTGGTAAAAAGCGTAGGTCGCAGTTTTTGGTTATTTAACAGCTCGTTTGTTAAACTGCAATGTAAAGATGACCATTTAAAAGAGCATAAAAAACTGCATCGAATGATTCCAAGACCTTCTAAAGATGCCTGTTCTGCGGACCGTGGCGATTCTTTGAAAAAAGCGAAAATACTTTCGGGACGACCTAATAAAAAAGAAATCAAATAAATAAGAGTCGACATAACGTGTAACCTAACCTTCAATGTTCGGAATTTAGGCTCTTTTTTTGAATTTTACTTCTTGTATTTTGTTCTTTCATCCCCAAGTACTCCCCATTCACTACCACAAAGTGCACTTCCAAAATTTTGCAAAAATTGATGTCGCCTGCTAACCATAGCAACTGGATGTAGTAATAAATAAATAAAAAATCACTACCTTAAATAACTGTATAGAAGCTATAAACATTAGGTTTCCTTTGTAAGCGAAAAATTTTACAGATAAAGCTGAGATTTTTAGTTTTCTACAAAGACAAACTAAAGCTTCACAGCTCGATGAAGCAACCCCTTATTCGACTGTATACTTTAATATAATAAAATTATGAGACAGTCACTGCTGCTCACTGAGCAACGTGTTACCAAATTGATATGTGCCTCTATAGCTCAGTGGCAGAGCGTCTGTCTCGTAAACAGAAGGTCTGCGGTTCAATCCCGCATGGAGGCAACTTTTTCTCTCACGCATCTAAGGGATGTTTTCCATAATTTATATAGCATCTTTACATACCAAAACATGCATTCTTCCCAACTAAACTATTTTTACGTTTGTAATATGCTAATTCATTCATAACCACAGTATATAGGACATATATTTCTTGTCTAGCGCGCAAAAACAGCAGGCATCACTTGAATATCTATAAATCGAGTAGAACTGATTCTGAACATAAGAATCCGCTGAGTCGAATATGAGTGCCCTCCAAGTATTAACAATCTGAACATAAAAGCTGCGCTTTCAACCACCGTGATTTTTTCGCAGCCTTTAGTAAGCCAAATTATTGCAATTGGATTCCACATGTTTTTCGTCCTACAAAATGGAAGAACTGCTGCGCTACGTCGAAATAGGTTTACAAGAGCACGACATTTCAAAACGTCACAGATATCAAGCCTCTATAGCTCAGTGGCAGAGCGTCTGTCTTGTAAACAGAAGGTCTGTGGTTCGATCCCGCATGGAGGCATGTTTTTTGACCTTTTACCATCATAGACTGCTGCCGACCGGAAGACTTCATTGATGTAGTGTTTACTTCTAAAACCACTCTGCATTTCTGATGAACTCGTAAAATTCGTTAAATTCGTGCATGAACTGCAGACAAAATTGAATAAATCGATTTAATACGTCCTAATATTAACTTCATGGTCCAGAACGAGAAAACCTTGTATATTTTTTGATACCTATTAAGACTTCTTATCAACCTGCTATCGTGTTTCCAAACGAATGGCCTGAATATGTTGCGCCGAAGGGTGTTTGTTTAATCAGCCCTGGTATTTCCATCAATGCATTTGCCCTAGTCGCAATTTTTTTTCGAACAGGATAATTTGAAAGTTATAAAAACGCGGAAAGCCGAAATGAGATATTTCGAGTGCGATCAAGCGCAACAATATCAACAGACAATGTAAGCCTGATGTCAATTAGCTGCGCATTTTTTTATTTCTGGCCAATCGCAGGCAAGAAGTAAAAGTCCCCTTGCTTTATGCTTGTGAATAATCTGAGTGGAAGTGATTTTGTTCGTCAAAGGGGACTGGTGAAAAACATTATTGAATACAGAAAAAGATTCTGGAAATTGAACTGAAAACACCCGCGAAGGATGTGGAATCTCTACCATCCAGAAAACTTGAAAATCCGCAAATAGGTAAGAAATCGTGAACAAAAACACAATCTTCATTACGAATCTCCTGCATTCTGCAGCACCCCACAAAAAAACAATCGAAAAAGCAAGACTGAATGTGCGCCTCTATAGCTCAGTGGCAGAGCGTCTGTCTTGTAAACAGAAGGTCTGTGGTTCGATCCCGCATGGAGGCAGCCTCTTTTTTTTGTACCCGATTAACATAAGACCTCCCGCCGCAAAACATGCAAAACTTACCTGGGCGAAAACAAGCATACAAAACATGATTGCTGGTCCGAGCATTGAAAAAGAAATCACTAGGAATTGGTAAGCGATGTATGACATCGATATGGAGTCATTGTTCTCAGAAGCACGCTAAAAACAAAAACAAAAAATGAAAATCCAATAGAATTATTGAAAGACAGAGCGTGATATTAGACAAACCTTGTAATCCGCTAGTAGATCAATTGTGTTTGCTATTGAAGAAGGTGTCCATCGTCGGCGCTGATTGAAGAATTCCTCGAAGCCTTCAGGAGCATAAGTCTCAGCATCCGAAGCAGCGACGTACTCGATACGATAACCCTGAAAAAAAAAAACTGATTTTCAGGAGCATTCAGTTATCATCTCACCTGCTTCAACATGAGTGTACTGAGCCACCTATCTTCTCCTTGATCGTACTGTACAAAATGACGTGGCTCATTTGCCGTCTTCGTGTACCTGTAAGTTGGATAAGAAAAGATAAAGAGATAAATTGATCCAAAAAATGATAAATGATCAGAAACTGGCATGAGCGTTATATACTAAATGTGTACATAGAAGCTCCGACCAGAATGAAAAGAAAAGAGCGAATTAATTATTAAAAAAAAATTTACAGCATTTCGAAAATTCGTTCGCAGCCATGATGTTCATCATATGATTCAATGATCAATGCAGCTGACTGACATTATAACCGACTGACAAGATGTAATGAAAAATCTGTTTAATATGCTTTTTTTCTTCGATTCAGTAAAGAGGCTGTGTGATGGTGTATAACGTGGCGATGGCAGAATGATAGGATGGAGGGAAAAGTGATAGAATTCTCTTAAAGCAATCTCCAGAGATACTTTCGCAAATTTTTCAAAACCTTCGACCAGAAGGCTCTTTTACCCTGTTTTGGTTAGAAGATACGGTTTGTTTCAGTAAAATCGTTTTCTAACTAACAATTACAAAGATTTAGCATTGCACCATTTGCATATGTAAATCACTTTCAATGAATGTATCACATGAAATCTGTTCTGTTTCTGCCCCTAATCTACCTATGGCAAAGGTTGATATACTCCTAGCTTCTGCCTAAAAAAATTCCAAAAGCTTACTAACTTGTGCATGATGTTGTCATCCATCAAAGCAGATGCTCTGAACAAGGAAAAACATCCAGGAGCACAAAGCACACATCCAAAAACATGTTCAGCAGCTTTCTGGAACCAATGCGCAATGGCGTATTCGAACTTTTGATACCACACCATCACTCCTGCAACATAGGTAGCTGATTCATAATGAGTAGAGCGAGGGGGAAAGATTACAACATCAGAATGCATTGACTGCGGCTTTGATGAGGCCAAACAGAAGAGGAAACAACAGAAACGGAACCGCTAAGCTCCAGCAATTAACATCTAACTGTATGACTTAAATATACCTGAGCCAATAGGATGAATTCTTCCACATGCGCATCCTATGTCACTTTTGGTGTTCATCAGATTCAAAAGACGGATGACTGCCTAGGGAAAAAAGTACCTTGGTACCCATATAAATATCCCATAATTTTACGAGATTAAAAAATTCACAAAAGACACACCTCCGGTTCAAACTTCGAATCACCATCTATAGCTAAGATGAACGTGTTGTCAGCCATTTGCTGACGATCCTCTAAACTCAGCGGTGAATCCATGATCCGATGACCAAGCAGATAGTACATATACATAACCTACACGAAAAGATAAGAGGAGCAAATTCTTGCTTTACGTGCATAGCTGACCTGACTCCATCTCTTTTTATTCCTTATAAGCTTCTTATCTTTCATATGGACAAATAAGAGCGTTCCAGCTGGCAGTCGTACCACCAATCTGCCACCGTAAGGCGTGTTGACAAGAATGCGAGACATCATGGAGCCAGATTCATCAACAAACTCACTGAAAAAATCTTATATATAAAGCTGAATGTCTGTTTGTCTGTATGTCTGTCTGTCTGTCTGTCTGTATGTCTGTACGTATGTTCCGAATAGAAAATTCCATTTCTGAACCGATCCGAACCAAACTTGGCACACATACACTTCGGGCCCCGGCGGGTGTCATAGGCTACTTTTCGTATCGATCGATATCGATTTTATCGATTTTTATCGATTTTTTTGCTGAGTTCACCTACGGGGCTGGGAGTTGGCACAGGGGGGTAATCGAGCATGGGGATTCCGAATACAATATTGGTTTTCAGGATTATCGATTTTATCGATTTTTTTGCAAAGTTTGAGCTACGGGGCTGGGAGTTGGCACAGGGGGGTAATCGAGCATGGGGATTCCGCCAAGTTTGGTCCGGATACGGCGGAGCCGGGTAAGCCAGCTAGTTTGTAATAAAAGCGAATTGCTGAGAAAAAAAGTTACCCGGTCAATTCACTAAGCGTGTCAAAAAAGGTGTGAAAGAAGTCGTTGGGTACACGCTTCGTTATCCCCAACTCAGTTTGATCTTCCCAAGCGTCATCAAAGAATATGTGACCTCACAATGTACGAATTAATTGAGAATTTTAAGACATTGTAGCGGCTCATACCTTCCAGACGGAAGCGCAATTGGTCCACTTTCTTATTACTGAGGCGATGCGCATGCTCTTCATCGAGCCTAGAAAAAGCAGCGGTTACGTTCAAGGAGTGTATCCCTGATTACAGTAATGTACTGACTTAATGATACTTCTCAACATCTGAGCCATCTCTGTGGCTGTCTCGTGCCACATTGTTGCGCACATGTAAAGAGTTAAGGTTCTATCAACCTGAAAAACATGGAAATGATGCGAAAATAATGTCTTTGAAAAATTTGGAGTACTTAAGACAAAACTTCGCTTATTCATAGGAGAGTGAAAAAAACCTCGCCTCATCATTTCGCACATGAAGTTCATCTGCAGGATCACCATGGTCGTCATCCATGTCTAATGCCGGCTCCTGGAAAACCAAAGGGAACTTCAACTTCAAAAAGTCAATTAATGGATTTTACCGTTTTACTGAGTGAGTTATGGAATACAACTAGTGATTGCTCTATACAAAATCCATTCGAAACAGGTGGCATCGAGTCGAGACTGAACCGAAAACTTGGGGCACTTCACCAAAATGGTTAAACACTCACATTTCATCAGATGCATCGTACGATCTCTGGCGCACAAATTGATATCCTCTATATGCGCCTATTGCCAGCCAAATCATGCAGATGTACCAGTCGTCAAATGGACGCGTGTTTCTTCCCCATTGGTCACAGCACCATCTCAAGCCCATTCTAGCGAGGAACTAGAGAACTAGGGATCACGGAAACGGAAGAGAGATTCAAGCATTTTGAGACTAACAAGTCGCTCACCGATGCAATTCCACATATATTATTACTGCAGATGAAAGCGACCATAGCATAGCCGACAGCTGGTACTATGGTGACCGGGTGAAGTACAGAGAAAGCTTTCATGCCAATGGCGGCCAGAAAACGAGCACAAACGCGTAACATCAGATTCAATAAGATTATCACAAATGCAGCCAGCAGAATTTTCCTGTGAGTAGCATGTTACAGCACTCTTCAATCATGCAGTTCACGTCTAACTCACGTTTGTCTATATCTTACACTGTACGATGTGAGCACGCTAAGGAATGTTGAAGTCTTCACATGGCCTCGAGCGGCGTACGACATGATTGTCAGCACCACAAATATTCGAGAGATTGCTATCATTATACGAGTGGAAACGTTCAGCTTGCGCAAACCATATTTCACCTACAAACCAAGGTAAAAATATGGACGGATCCTGCAAAAATCGAGTACCTGATACAGTTCATGAAAAACCGTGCCGGCATGTCTTTTTCCCACCCAAGATTCCCAAAAACCAATTGAAACTGAGAACAGACCAAGTGGAAGAACCCACACACCCTAAAAAAGGCTAGTTTGATCCCAGTGAACAAACATTTGCGGCCACTGCGGCGATATCGTTTTCTGGAGCCGCTGAAAAATTTGCAAACACAAAAAATTCCTTCCAAGCTGCTAGGCGACCGCACAGAACTACTGGACCGCAAAGAGATTTGGACATACCTGAAATGGCGTTGCTATAACGTTCCAGAGGTAAGTTGCGCTAAGAAGTAGCAAAAATAAGATTAGATGAGGCAGAGTTGCGGTCGAAAGCACTGAACATTGTAAGTTAGAGAAAAAAGATGTTCTAAACAATTGTAAATGTAGACTTACACATCCTGCGGCCAAATGAACGCCCTGGCCTAAACGTATTAGAAATCGTGGACATAAGTCTTTGCAAAGCAGTTACTATGGGAAAACATGCGCAGAGGCATAGACATCTGTACAGATCCAGCTGGGGGAAGACGGTGAAAACAAGTAGCGACAGACCAAAGGCGCGTAGCGTTTCAAGCGTGACAAACTGATGAAATGTGGTGGAATTTGCTTCTCAAGTATCATTTGACTGCGACCAACCGAAAATCGGATTCTTCCTGCTCTATCGCTGCGACAGTATCGGGCCAAGGACCTGACTACAGTTAGGATGTCCGGAACGACCTGGATGAGCATCAGGCTGAGGTACATCGCTGCTACTGCTCTTGGCGTGCGTTCAACTAAAAATTTGTCATGAAATACTGAATATAATGAATAATGAATATGAATATAATAATGAAAATGGAGTAAGAATTATAATCCAATATATAAGATCCAGTATATAAGTAATCGCTCAGCAATTTCCTTCACTTTTCAGAAATACATAAAGACTGCAAATTAATGGTTAATGTAGACAGAGATATCGCATCAACACGCCTGCCCGAATATACTTCATGCGATTACATCGCGTTGCAATGGCGATACTCCAAATGTGCATAACGTATTGTAAACACATTTCAAATGTACAAAAGACGGAGCATATCGATCCAAGAAAGTCATGCACCCTATGCCTTTTTGGTCTGCCACTGTTGGATTTGAAGACGCATGGAAAATTGCCAGATCGCGTGAAGACTGAAATTACTCGAAGTATGCGCGTGGCCTCAGGCCCCAGCGAAACCACGGTATTTGCACTATACTCAAAATTCTTGATTGAGAGTCAAGTTCTTCAGAGTGGCGGAGGAAGTGTAAGGAGAGGCAGAAGGAGTGGCGAAATTTGCTACAGCGCGGGCGCAAAGTCTTGTTCATTAGAGGAACAGATTATTTATTCTAATTTTTAAATGTTCATTAGACACTTTTCCGCATGTGACAAGAAATTATTAAAACAACTTTTATTTTTTGTAGTGAGAACTTACCTGGAACTCTGCTGCATCGACGAGCATATGTGTTTGATGTGTATCTCTTTTCCCATAGATTGGTGGCAAGGATTAAGACACATATTTTAGAAATTGCTGCTCCCACAGTCAGAAATGTGTTGCAGAAAAGGAAGAGAAGAAGCTGGAAAGAGACAGATTTTTGAGAAAAGAACTCAACATACTAGCGTTATTTATGCGCTACATATACAAAAATTCAAGCAAATTTTTTTATCTGTTTATTAGAGTTTTTGATGATTAACGTGAGATATCACAAACCTTAGTGGCCTGCAAACATGTTATCATCCAAGGTGTCAGTGACAGCTTTTCGATATTCGCTCGTTTATGAGATCGGAAAGCATTCCAACGAAAGTCGTCGTCTTCAGTGATCATCTGGAAGGAGAATTTGCATTTTGTTTAAAAGGCATGAAAGAGATTCCCCAACGAAATAAAACACAACCAAACTAGTGGAGCAATCTGTTGTACCCTTGAAATCGATGACAGTAGAGCAAAAGCGATCTTGGCTTGGCAATAACGCAGACAGGCTACTGTACCGAGCTATACTACCGTCTGTTCCCACAACGGTGCCACACCATTCTGCGTCCGACATGTTCGACATGTTTACTGCATGCTGGCAACATGCAGCAACACGTTTAACAACGTGTAGAAGGCTGGAGGCACCGGTGTCCAGGGTTATACGGCGACGAATACGGTAGCTTAAAGGCAGCGCACACCCAAAACAAATGCAACAGATGTTGCAACAGCAACTGCAACTGCAATTGCAGCTTACGCTGTTATGGATTCGTCCGGAGGAGGCGGAGCGAAAGAAAAGGGGCGGCGTGAAAGAAAATTGAGGGGGGGTTTTCTCCGCTCAGAAGCAACATTAGGAGACCGGACCAACGCAGTTGGTCTTCTTCTGGGCCCGCTATATACACGGTGTAGAAAGATCTAGGAAATTCGGTAACTCAAATTTTGGGTGTACGCTGCCTTTAAGATCCGCGCTGCCCCTATCGCCTTAGGACCCCACCTTGCTGGCGCGAAGCCAACGGTGTATATGGCGGCAACGTCTTAGGTAGGTGCCAGAGTAAGCGAATATTTTGTTCAAGTTGGGGTCCCGCGCAGAACTGGCGTTACTAATCATTGTGGCACAACGCCAAGTTGGCATTATGCCACAATGATTAGTGATGCCAGTTCTGCGCGGGACCCCAACTTGAACAAAATATTCGCTTACTCTGGCACCTACCTTACTCGTCGACTGCCCACTCTCGTATCTCATTGATTATTTTCGTATGTGATCCATATTTCAGTCTTGTATATACCGTATGTCTTGTCATAATCTCGCTTGGATGCGTTTGTCATTAGGCATACAATTTTAGTTTTCAGAATTATCGATTACTTTTATGAATTTTATCGATTGTTTTGCAAAGTTTGAGCTACGGGGCTGGGAGTTGGCACAGGGGGGTAATCGAGCATGCTGATTACGAGTACAACATTAGTTTGGCGCTATTCTATCCGGGTCCCAAAATTTTTTTGACGTAGAGCGTGCTCAAACTTCGTGTGTAAGGGTTATCTTATATGCTGATTGCAGATATCACACTTTCTCCGCAGAACGTCTTCCCGTGTGGTTACGATAGGTGTACGGTAGGAAGTCAAAATCATGAATTTGGCTGGATTTCGGTTCAGAGAACTTATTCGACGTGCTGACTACGAATTTAATACTCTCTCTGCATATTGGGACTTTTTCATAGAGTTGTGGTGGTTATATGGCATGGGGTCGAAAACAAAGATTTGCTTCAAACTTCTTCTAGGGTAGTCATTTAGCGCGCTGAACATAAATATCATGTTGATTTCGCAGGATGGTGCATTTTCTTGAGTTACGGTTGGTGTAGGTGGGTCGAAGTTCCAGATTTGCTCAAAACCTTACCTGTAACGGTTCACAAGTATATAGCTTATGAATATGATGCTTGCTCGCTGTCATAACGCATTAGTGAAGTTACGGTGAGTTGCAGGGTTTGAATGGACATTTTTTCGCTTTCGGGCCAATTTAGATCCCAGTTATTCAAGAGGTGGGGAAACGGTCGTTTTGCACAGCGGTCTCCAGCGCCATCCTGATAACCTGTCTCAAGCGTAACGCACGCGGCAAATCTTCTTCCCCCTGTTTTTGCTTAGGCAAAAGCCGCCGAAGGGTGTCTCACGCGCGGCAGTGGTCCTATAAGGGAAAGCATTACGGTCGTGGGAAACTTTTATACCACACGAATTGCCTTTATCGTGGGGAGTGAGCACGATATTCTTGAAACAGCACTTTAGGTAATTTTCTGCCAAGGTTTCAGGCAGGTTCATGATTTTTACCCGCTGCCACGTGATGACTATGATATCGTCATCAGCGGCTCAAATAACCCCCATATACCGAGTTTGAGCAAAATCCGTCACAAAAACATTTTGGGGCCCGGATAGCCGAATAACGCCATCGGTTTTTAGAATTACCTTTACTTTTATCGATTTTATTGTTTTTTTGTGCAAGTTTGAGCTACGGGGCTGGGTGGGGGAGGGTTGGTGAGGAAGGTAGGTGAGCATACTGATTACTCACGCAGTGGGAATAGGGAATGTAGAAGTGGGTACAGGTAAAGGTGTACAGGGATAAAAATGGAACTTTTATCGTTTTTGACAGGCCCAGGCGGAGCCGGGTAAGCCAGCTAATAACTTATAAAAACGGGCTAAGGATGTTTACGTGACTTTGTGCGTGTGTCTGCTAAAAATTTAAATTTGTTAAAATTCGTGGAGCGTGTTCCAGCCAGCGTTCTAAGCCCAAATTTTGTATAGCGCATGCTACCTTCATGAAAGTCCAACATGCAAAAGCACGAGTAGATTCGTTGAGTGGATCCCTCAGAAATTGCGCGCCAAGCGGGTCCCCCTGGCTTCTGTACCGAAAATTCGGTCCGTATCACCACCTTTTGCAGAGTCGTGGATGAGTTTGGTAAGCAAATGTGCAAGCGATGGAGTTTAGCCAGAAAAGTGGTCGAAAGTTCATTACATAACGAAAACGGTGCCAAAACGAATTCGTTGTGTAAATGGTCAATTTGCCAAAGTTCTAGCTAAGCATTTGAGAAGATTTTCGCACAGAGATGTAGCTCACGGTTATTATTAACTTTATGGCGACTACCAAGTCACGACAAATCCAAAAACCTATTCAAATTTGCGTTTGTCTTCCTGCGAAAAGTTTCATCCACGCGAAATCACCGATCTCACGTGAAAAGACTTTCTAAATGAGTGGTTGTTTACAATTTATTCGTGGTAGTCGGCATAGCGCGGTGACTCAGACATTCGCCGTTGTCACCCGCAGGTGGACCGCCCACAAAATGGCTGATCGCACCAAAACCCGGTGCACCGGCGGGAGACATGAATTTAGTTTTGACCGGATTTTACTGCGATTTTGCCCCGACGCCCAAGCGCATGTTTTAACACGCCCGATAGCGCGCTCATTCGAAACCAAGCACCGCGGAGAAAAGGATTTCGAAATACCGTCCGTCTCACTTATCGTTTTCCTTTTAATTTTGTTAGTCGTCGTCTGATAGTCGTTCTTTTTGATCATCTCACTTTTGTAAAACCACTATATCATTGTTTTCAATAAAATCACATCCTTGTTCCTGTTTTACCCCGACTTTATGCATTCTACGCTCTCATACTTACCGCGTTTGCTCTGCTTTATCGACTTTTCACACTACCGAAGTATTTCAGATGACAGAGCATTTGATGAAGCTTTTGCTGCGGAGAATTCTTTCTTTAAACACCTGTTGTCATTCCGAATGTTCCGCTATGCGCGTACGGCTCTTGGTCTAGGAACATTACCAATCGACATGTTGATCATGTTGGCCAGAAAGTAAGTCCGTAGTATTTTTTAGTATTATTTGTATTTTTTCACAGCTATCTTCCATTTATCTTTATCAATCCATTTGATTTTCGAAAGTTTTCTCATGCAAGATGGTACAAAAGGTAGGAATGTGTTTGGCTGGTTTCGCATAAATTTTAGGCACACCCTTATATTGACATTGAGTTTGGAGTGGAAGTTTGTGGTTGAACCTGGCTACGAACAACGAGGAACGCAGACGGAAGTACGACAATCTCTCGGAAGCGCGGATGACTTGGATTGCACGCACACGCATGGCCATGGGAAGAGCACTGTGAGTTACATCAGTCTAAAGCAAAGGTGACAATTGACCATCACACCTATTTAAAACGGATGTGCGTGCGTACCATCTCGATGCTGACCGAGGAACTCTGCTGGCATCGAAGGTAAAACTTTCTTCCTCAGAATTTACGCTGTTGATGCTGATGATGTTTTTCAGAAAAAGCGCCCCTGCACTTCTGACGTGACTGGCTTGAACGTCATCCAAAAAAAAACGGACGCTGACATCGCAGAAACGGATGCCAACGACACACATTAGATCATATACACATTTTCAGTTGTGTTTTTTGTCAAGTGCTTTCTCGATGTAGCTTATTTGATTTTGCGCTGATGCAGACTTTTCCTTACCATGAAGTTTTATACACAATTCCAGTTGTTTTTTTGTCAAGTGCTTTCTCGATGTAGCTTATTTGATTTTGCGCTGATGCAGATTTTTCCCCGCCATGAAGTTTTCATTAAATTCTATAGCTTGATTTGTAAGTGACAGTGAAAGAAAACAGCACGGTGGAAGTGAAACACACAAGTATAGACCGTAACTCTGTACTTGTGTGTTCCACTCCATACTTACGCTATATATATGTATATATATATATATATATATATATATATATATATATATATGTACCTACGAGGGTGAACCACAGCTCTAAGGATCGGGGCATTATGGTGTCTCCCGCAGGTCACTCCGATAATGACCGGAGAATGCCGTGTCGGGGCGTTATGGTGTGTCCCGCAGGTCGCCGCGCTGCAAACACAGGTGACCTGATTTTGCCCCGACACCGATTTCGTGTGACGCGCCGTTGGTCAATGAGATCACATCATTTTAACCTGCGGGTGACAACCGCGAATGTCTGAGGAGTTCCAGTGCCACGATTTTACGAGAATGAGTAAGGCACATAGATAGTAGAAACAGTGCGAACCTCTGCGAAGCAGAGGTGACGCACTGGCTCTTCTATCTATATGCCATATACTCATTCCCGCTTAACATAGCATTGAAACATACCATGTAATGCCCGCTTCACGAATGAATCGTAAACAACTACTCATTCCGAAAGCTTTTTCGTGTGAGATCGGTATAATATCTATGGTGAGCTACATCCCTGTGCAAAAATCTTCTCAAATGTTTAGGTAAAAACCTGGCGAACTGTGCGATTTTTGAGAGATCTACTCAACGGATCTGCTCGTGCTTTGACATGGTGAGTCTGGGTGGTGGGTGTGCGTGTTGTGCAAACAATTGCGGCTTGAAACCTTGTCTGCAATTCGTTCTGTGAATTTCGTTACAGGCAGACAGACAAAAACACGTAAACACCCTTAGCTCATTATTATAAATCATGATATACAAAAAAAAATGAAAAAGAAGGAAAGTTGAGAGAAGTTGCAGCAAGCATATAGCCACATGTGCGTGAAGCGCGTAGGCTGCAGCAAACATATCAAGGGCTCAGCAAACCTTAAAATTCATTTGAACTACCTTAATTCCTGCCCGTTCAGTCCGACGTGCTGATCTCGAAGATCACGAAGCTGGTGAAAACCAGTATTTACAAGGGCTTCAAATTAAATTTCGAGTACATCAATCTCCACCAAAGTTGGAGACGCAGAGTCGCTACAGGAGTCTTAGCTCGCTCATGCGCAACTCCGTTCCCTTCCTTATTTTGTTCAAAAGTTGTCTGGTATCTGCTTCACTAAAACTACCAAGAGTAGAAAAATGTCGTTTTCTGAAAATGCTTGTAGATTACAGTATACCATATAGTGCGCGGCGCTCGGTTAGACATTACTTACTTAGATACTTGGATGGCCAGGTCTTCGCGTGACCTGCGGGCCCCAGCATAAAAATTTCCGTTTCTCCCTGTCCCTTGCTTCAGAGATCTTCTTGGCTGACGTCGGTAACTGCGTCCACGAGTTCCAGGTGCAAAAATCATATCCAGCTGATTTCTCGGCTGGTCCGTCCGTTCCACGAACATGTCTGCCCATCTCGTTGGAGGTCTTCCCCCGAAGACGTTTCGCTTCGCGAAGAAGTTTTTAGTGTTCATCTGTCGTCTGTTCTTCTCATAATGTCGGCCCATCGATTCTTCGCTTTCGCAACGTAATCCGCTGGGTCACGAACAGGGACAATCTTCTCATATCCGTACTGCGAAGTCCGATAAGTGTTGTGTGCGTCGGGTCATCTTCAGAAGACTGCGCTCTCGCGCTCTTTGGGTGGCCCTTAACACGTTTCGGACCGCGAAATCGCGCGCGGCTAAAAAGAGGGTACTCTCAGCCGTTAGCCAACAAAGGGGCCTTAATTCGTAAACTGTGTGCTACATCTGTAATCAGCATGTCGGATAAGATCCATACCCAAAGTTCTAAGTGAATTCGAAGTGTTTGAATTTTGCCGCTTCAGAAAGACTTCCGTGCTTTCTTGAAAGAGAGAAACAACAGCCCAGTTTCTAATAGTATCTCAAAATATCTATGTTGTACACAGTACACATCATTACTGAAACCACGATTTTTCTCATTGAAATAAGAGCAAAGAAAATTGCCGCACTTCATTGCAACTGTTGTTCGATTTGTCCTCATATCTTCTAAACAAATACAGTTGGCACAGCTCTACAGAGTCATTTGAAAAGGAGGAGCTTAGGCCTTTGATTTGATGGCCTTGGACAAAAAGAAAACCTTCTGCAAACATTGAAAAGATCCTTGATAGGAGCGTGCTGCACCACGTGCAGTACCGGTCCGAAACGTGTTAAAGCTTTCGACGTGGCTATGGTGTCAGCCAAAGCCTCAGCTGCGTAACAGAGTGCCAATAGAACGGTTGAGTCGAACAGGTAGGCACGAAGCTTGGGGTCCGTCAGTTGGTCGGTGGCTTCCTTCAGAGGTCCGAAGGCGGTCCAGGCTGCTCTTCTTCTCCTGTTAAGTTCTTCCCTCAAGTCGTTCTCCACGTTCATCGAATGTCCGAGATACACGTAAGAGGTTGTCTCCATGAAAGGGGTGCCTTCCAATTCCATTTCTGCATCTTCGCAAAGGGCGTTCCTCATGAACTGAGTCTTCTTCCGATTTATTCGCAGTCCGATCTTCTTCCCTACTTCGTTCAGTTCCTTCAGCATCGTCTCTGCGTGATACTGCTCGAGAGGAGAACGATGTCGTACGCAAAACGAAGGTTGGACAGGAATCTCCCATCAACTCGTATGCCTCTCTCGTCCCAGTCTAGCGACTTCATCACCCACTGCAAGGCCTCGGTGAACAGCTTTGGCGATGTCGTCCCCTTTCCAGTCGGAATGGTCAGGAGGCGATCATATAGGTGCATCGTCGTTGTACGCTCCTTGTAGCAGCCGGCTGACGACCTCACGTAAGCTGGGTCCTTTCCTTGGACTAGCACTGACAGGATGGCGTTGTGGAGAAATGGGGGCTTCTTCTGTCTCTTCAGTAAGCCTTGTCAAACTTGAACTGCCACGCGGGACTATAATGTAGTGTTTGAAGTCGAAGCTCCAAATACGTTTATTCCCAATCTCCAAATATGTACGGATATATTCAGATCCACTCACACGCCGTATGGTCGGGAGTGCAAAACTTGAGAATATGCCGATCTTGATGATCGTCCAGCGAACTTGAGAATAAGCAGGACTTGATGGACGTCCAGCGAACTCGAACTTGAAGGGATGGACAGACTTGAGTTGGAAGCATGCTCATACGGCGATATGGGCTCTTTTTGTACATCCACAGATCTGATTAAACTAGGATCTCAAAATATCTTTCAAGGGAAAGTAAATATAAGTGAGCTGATAAGCGTTACGAAACAAAACTTGAAATGAGAAAAATGCAAAACAAAACTTGAAGTGAGGAAACTGTACAATTCGAGATGATTCATCAAACAAATATGACATGGTCAAAAGGATATCGTATATACTATCATGACTTATAATAAGCGGCTTAATCTGAAGTTGTGTGGAGTTTGTCCGTTACGAAATTACAGTGAGGGATGATTTACGATACTAAACATCATGTGAGGTTAAGAAGCGAGTATGGTTCTTTTTTAACTACGGCTCACGTTGCAATAAACCGAAAAATGATTTGAGAGACAAGCTCTCAGAAAGTGAGTTTACCACGGTTCACGATGCCAGTGCGAACCTCTGCGAAGCAGAGGTGAAGCACTGGTTTACAATAATTATCACTTGGTCGTCGATGTCGTCGACAGGCGTTGATTTTGACGTTGTCAGAGGCTTTCTTGTAGTCGACGAAGGTTAAGACTAGAGGCAGTCGGTACTCCCGGCAGACTTCTATGACCCTCGAAACCGTCAGGATGTGGTCCATGCAGCTGAATCCATTGCGAAATCCAGTTGTTGTTGGGGTTGGGCTTCATCTAGTGTCCTAGATATGCGAGCGAGGATAATTTTTGTGGAAATTTTGTACAGCACACTCAACAGGCATATTGGACGGTAGTTCCGAAGATCCTCCCGTTCACCCTTCTTGAAAAGAAGGACAGTTCTTGACGTTCTCCACTGATCGGGAATCCTTTCCTTCTGAAGTTAAGATATTAGGTGCGACGCGAGAATCTCATGGAGACGTCGTCCTCTGGCTCGCAGAAGTTCGACGAAAAGATGGTCTGGCTTAAGATTCAGCAGGTAGAATCCTTGGTGGTTCTTCTCCAGTGGCAAAATCGGGCATCGGCACGGGTTTTGATGAGCGGAAGAGGTAGGTGTAGAAGCCCTTTGCGATAGATTCCATCTTGCATCGGGAAGAAGTCGGAGTTTTGTCTTCGTTCAATACTGCAGCCAGCGGTACATGATATTCGCAGAGGTCCCTTCGGCTTCTTGAGACTTCTCTTCCTTCGGCTGCTTCCAGTATCTTGGCTTGGATGTACTTCCTGAGATCCTCCTGCAAAACTGTTCTGCAACTGGCGTTGGGTATCAGTCGCTCGAGATGGATTGCATTCGGATCCTGCCTCAGAATTCTTCTTTTTTCGAGCAATTCCTTGGTGGTCTTAATACTTTCCAAGTTCTTTCCAGAAGTCACTGAGGCACACTCTCCGCAGGCTCGCAATCCTTTCAGAAGCCGGCCGTTGTCGTACATTGGGCCTCTTCGATAGGCCAGTCACATCTTGATATGAGCTCCTCCAGCCTGTTACCGTCATAAACGACATTCTTCCTTCTTGCGGCATTGTGGCAGACCTTCTTTTCCAGCTTTCGACTGAATCGTACCTTTGCTCGAAGAAGGCGGTGATCGGAGCCACTGCAGAAGGATGGAACTACTGAGACATCGAGCAAGCTCTACCTTCGTTGGTGAGAACGTGGTCGATCGCCGCGTGAGTCGTTCCGTTGGGCGATTCTCATGTCCACCGGCGATGTTCTTTCTTCACGGAGATGGAATTTCCATGGAAAAGTCGTGCGGCGGAGAGAAGTCCATTAAGACGGTTTCCGTTTTCGTTCCGGAGCCCATATCCAAACTTTGCGATCCTATATTCCTTTTCAGCGGCATCCCGATTTTCGCATTGAAGTCGCCCATAACAAACTTTTAAAAGGACTTCTCGTTGCGGACGACCTCCTCCAAATCTTCGTAGAAAGCATCTAGTTCTGATTCGTCAGCTGCTGATGTTGACGAGTAGCAGTTGATGATGCTGATGGTCTTCTGACGTGGAGGTCGTAAGATGGCTAGTCGAGTTGAAAATCTCATGCGAATCGAGAAGATGGACGATAGATGGGTGGACGACAAAGCCAACGCCTTCAACGTTTCGTGATGGAACCTTCTCACCACGAATGATGAGTGTTCCATCACTTATCTGTCGCACGTCCTTCGTGATACTTGATGTGCTCTGCAGCGTCGAGAAGAGCGTAGAGGGCATTTGTGGAGACTGTTCTGGCGGTGTAGGTGCAGAGCATGAGGCAGTCTCCATGGCGTGTCGTTCGGGCAGACGTGTCATATTTTTCCACAAGGCGCCCTAAGGACCCTGACATCAGTCTTGCTACCACCCGGCGCCGTAGGCGGGATCCAATGTGCAGGGTTTCTTTCTACATCTTCTTGCTGTGTAAGTAATAAGATCTGCTCCTCTACATGAGCAGACTTACTAGGCCTACTCATGATTTCCACGGGGCGATCGCTGACCCCGGGCTTGGAGGGGGGAGAACCGCCTGGCGACAGAAAACCAGACGGCGATGGATCTGGTTTGGCCGGCTCTTAGCTAGGCATCCGGCCGAAACCGGAAACGTCGAACTTCTTCACAGCATGGGAGGCCCTGTCATAGTATACACTCGGCTGCGCATAGCAGTTCGACAACCACGCCATGTTGAGGCGTCCGACCATTGTGGGGGAAAGTATTTTTAATCCCTCGAATACTGATATGAATAGTTACTAATTGAGACCGGTAACACAATAGTACTCAAAAATGCAGTTATAGACTGTCTCAACGAAATTCAAAAAGTCGAGCAAGAAGAAAGAGTATGCAAAGATCTCAGAAAAAGAACTAATAAATGTGAGTGCCTCTGGTTCTTTAACCCTTGCATATTTGTGAGTCATGTCGTCCTTATAAAAATCATAATATCATGTGCAGGAATCGGAAAAAGTCGTGAAAAGTGAGAAAACTCAAGAGAACGAAGACGAAGGACATTTACAGTTGATGGTTCGTAGGACGACCCTTATGAATTTTACCACACTTTTTTTTGCAGAGAAAATTCCTTGCTCAAAATGACATGTCACAGCCAGAAAAGCCGTTCACTGTCCAAGTAATTAAAATGATTTCTGTTATCGCCTTCAGGCACTTGAAATCTTGATATGTATTTAAGGATTTGCCGCTTTGGATAGCGCTTATGGATAATACCGACGATGACAAGCCAACAAGTGAATTGAGATTGAAGATGGTATGGTCCTTGATTGAAAAGGCTCGAAAATCCTTGTGTTGCCGTATTTCAGGCCGATTGGTTGCTTAGACGTGGTGGCATGGACCAACTTCCCAAGGGCATTTCACCCGTTCCGCTGAGATCAGCATCGTCTACAACCGTAAGTGCTTACATTCACGCTTCGCCAGATTTATACGTTCTGTCTCAATCGTAGGATCACAACTTGATAGGGCACAATCGCTACGCAAGTGCCTTGTGCGGCAATCGTGGGCATTTTCAAAGGCATCTTCCATCTACAGGGTGCGGAAAAAGTACTGTCCCTCAAAATAAAGCCAAAAAAATCGGCGTAATTCTTAAGTTTTTCTGGTAAACTTGACGCAAATCCTAAGGTGCGAATGTATTCTAGCATTTTACAAAAACTGGCTGAAATATTTTGCAATCTCACCTGGCGGTGGATCCCTTTTCGCAACGCATTACATATCAAGCCTTGCAACTCCCTTTTACAAGTGTAAAGGAAGTGTGAAGTTTTTTGGAAAATTTTTTGTTTCCAACGGGGATTTGAGAAATCCTCTATTGCTTGAGGAATGTTGTAGTGTCTTCGAAGTATGCTGGAAGTAGCCAGACCGCAGTTGCAGTAGGAGAAAATTTGGGAAGCTTTCCAAAGACACTGCTTCTGCGGCGCAACAGGGTGCGATCAGAAAACGTGGCACAGAAACTAGGTATAATCGTTTATCGCTCCAAAACCGTGATGTAGACAAAGTCCGATGCTCTTTTCATTATTCCTGTTAATTTTTGTTCGAATCTGGAAATTCGAATCATAGTTTGAATCCATTTCATTAAGCAAGTGCAGTCTTGACTCCCCTCTTTTCGAGAATTTTTGCGATTTGCGGATACATTCCTTATTTGGCCAAAGCAAGAATCACCAATCCATAGTTCATCTATAGTGGGCATAGAATATTGGAGAAGAGATCGCGCACTAAATACCAGCTTAATTTGAACCTTATAACAATGCTGGCGGTATAGTTACAGTCCAAAATTGCGCTTGTATGCTATCGGCGCATCGTTGATGTTCTTGCGCGCTATTATCACTCGTTCAAACGGACAGAAGGGAACGGTTTCAAATCAAACTTATCTTTAACTAATCTCAAGGACCTCGCCTACATATGGGAATCAAAAAACTACAGATTTGCTTTATGTGAGGTGTTTCAGGAGCCAAACTGGGGGGACAGTACTTTTTCCGCACCCTATAAATCTGAGATTGGTGAGATTTTGATGTAGTGCTAAACGATTACTCAAGTCCAGCTGCAAAAGACGTATTGCTATGCGAGAGTATTGTTCCAAAAGGTGAATTCTGCTGAGGACGCCACGTCCATCAATGAGGGTGGTCTGAGGTATTGATCCTAAAACATTCCCAGTAGTATCAAGAAACGTAGTAAACCTTTTTTCACAATAAATGTGAGAATTTCAATATTGCTAGGCACCATTGAATCTATTTTCAATATAACTTTTAGGACACTCACACTGATGGGGAGTGGCGACCAGGGCTCGGCATGAAGTTGATTTTTCAATTTTTCAAAAACGAAGTCCTTGTAGACTTAGCCACAAAAATACGACATCACCTATGACGCGATCGTAAATGCATCAAAACGAACGGAAAAATAGTGGAATAAAACATAAAACCAGCATCGAACAGACGAAAAAAACCGAAGATGTTCGTATTCGTCGAATTGGCGGCATGCTGTGTCCGGCGCGCACCCTTGCGCGCTTGAAACAGGCTTGCCGCCGCCATACAAAATAGGAGAGCTGTAACTAGGCGAGGAAGAGGGAGTTTAAGGAGATTCAAAAACTTAGCTGTAGGGTTTTTGATGTACAACAAGGTTACGTTAAACATGTGAGGAAATTATGTGAAGGAAGGAAAATATATGACTTTTTCTTTTTACAGCCACTTAAAGGCAGTGTCCGGGCAAAAAGTCGATTTTGAGATTTTATGCTTTTTTGGGCTTATTCGCTACACTGAATCCGAAAATGCACATTGTAGAGCGCGAAAATGGCGAAAAACGGCTCTAACACAGGAGGGAAATGAGCAGGTGGGCGGGGTCCTCCCCGCTGCGAATTCACGTTCCCGACTTCCGGAGCGATCTTCTCGCTTCCGGTTTCAAGTCAATCATTCGCACTTGAGCGGTAGCAATGGTAGAACGGCTAGCGGAATCGAGAAAATCGCTCCGGGAGCTGGGAGCGTGAATCGTACTGGGGAAAGCCCCGCCCACCTGCTCATTTCCCTCCTGTGTTAGAGCCGTTTTTCACCATTTTCGCGCTCTACAATGTGCATTTTCGGATTCCTAAGTTGAGGGTGTTGAGCTTTTGGCAGCATATAACAGTGGGTCCTCTTATCAAGCCAATGCCCAAGTTGCGGCGCAATATGCCGCTTTGGAAGCGAGAAAATCGCTTCGGAATAGCGAAAATGCACGAGGACCCCCATCCATGCCCGCCCCTCCCCATCCATGCCCTCCGATTTGTGCGCGCTCATCCAATCACCGTTCTGGAAAGCCGGCATGGGGTTCTCCGGAATGGGGATTGTAGAAGTTTTCGAGGGTTCTCGACCTCGTATTGGAATTAGGGACATGAGAAGGCTCTGAAACGACAAAAACCTGGAAGTCGAAAATCTGGGTGGACGGTGCTTTTAAGGTGGCTGTTCAGGTGGCTGGAAAGTCACCTAACTCCGAAAAAAGTTTGCCACGCCTTCAGTTCACATAATTTTTTCATAATTTTTCGCGCATAGTCATAACTCCCTATTGCTCATCTACACACCAGTTTCGGTGTCACTTCATTTTCTCTTTGCTGTGAACAAGTCTTTTGTTTATTTCGGGACAGGTTTGAATTCGCGCGCTTAACCGGCGAACATGTTGAAACAGAAAATTTCTGGTTTTCGCAGATAAATGACAATTTGCGTCTTCTATAGAAGATGGGTGACATAAAGGCAGAGGGCGACTGTGTGTGTGTGGGTGGAGGGGGGAGGGGGAGGAAGGGCGGGGGATGGCTTTAGGACGCTTAAACGATATGCCCCTCGCTTTCAATTCCAAAACGAGATCCAGCTTGCCTCGTAAGCCATCTGTGCCGAGCCCTGGTAACGACCCCAACAGCATCCACTTTCGGGAGCGATTTTCTCGCTCCGAAATACATCTTTTGCAGCAGTACGTGGGCAACCATCCAGCGAGCATCACCATGCACTGCATCAAAATCTCACTAACCTCAGATTTGAGTGGACGGTGGCTTTAACCAGTGATGTGAATGCGTAGCCGCACCCCAAAAGGACGGTACAGTTGGGACATTGTATCAAACCTTATTTAAGAAATCAAAAGGAGGTGAAGAAATACAATATACACGAGCACCCAAAGGCGAACAAGTGGACAAACTAGCCAGTATGGTAAGCTGAATGCATTTTCCTTAAGATGATGCTATGGGCCATATATAGGAGCGTTTTCTCGAAAAGCTAAATTCCACGGAGCATTTTAGCGGATCTGGTGATTCTCTCGAGCAGGTTGGAAACCACAGCCTTTTTTTGAGCACTTTGAAGCTGACGATTAAGGTACCCCTAGTGACTAAAGTCCGAACAACAAAAACTACACCGCAGTCAAAAAAATCCCCAAAGCGTGCCGGAGCAGGAGGAGAAATGGTATTCTTCAGCATTTTTCGAAACATATTCAACTTTTTGCTTAAACAGAAAGAAGATGTTACGCAGATTTCTACCAGAATAGAGGAATTTCTAAACGATGAGTAACAGAGATCAGTGAGTTTTGATCTCTTCTTTGACCACCATAGTCCGGTTAGCAAATTAGGGGTGCTACTCAATGATAAGTCTTTTCTTTGAGACCAACAGTAGCTATCAACGAAACTTCTCTTCGGAAGCTCATAGCCTTCTAAAAAAAAACTTTTTCAGCAAAGGATGCAATACGCATGCAAACGGAAGTAACACAAATTCTCATCGTTTTATCATATTAATTTGTTTTCATAATAAAAAGTTGGTATTGTGCAACAACGCCAGGTTCATGCCAATGTACAGTTCAAAAGCAGCGGATAGGAGAACTTCTATCCTAGTGGCATTTTTGGTGGTTTCCTGAAAAAATAAAATGTGCATGGTCGGAAAAGTATCCACTTACCTTTGCTTCTTCTTAGGCATTCGCCTATAAATTGCATCGTTCATATAATATTGCGACTCACGACAGTGACCACAGCTTTTGGCGCAGTAGGTCCTCAAGGCCTTTTTACTGTAACAGCATTACGATAGGATTACTGTATGATTTGACATAACCAAGATGCTACTTTACACTAAAAGAAGCAGTCAGACCCGTCATGACAACAAAGTTGGTGTTCAAAATGAATTTTACAATTGAATGAATTTCGAATTACCTCTGTAGGAAATTTTTCGACCGCATGGCTATCACCACGCCCCTTTTTTTTCAAAAAAATGGTTATGAGCGCGCTAAATGTTGTCAAGCATTCCAAAGATTTTTTTGCAAGGCGTGCTCCTTCATTTAGAAAAATTCTATTACATCCTCCCCCCCCCCTCCCCCCGAACAAAAGTCGCTAGTTCTTACCTGTAGGGATGATCGCATACGCCACTTTCAGCTAGATTTTCACATGTATCCAGCTCATCCTTGCACGGTGGAAGGGTCTCTGTAAATTTATAAATATCGATCGACTAATGATCGATTTTTAATAGTACTTACCGGCAATTCTTGCTGGTAATGCACAAAGTCGACAAGTTTTTGAGCAGTATTCTCCGGCCATGGGCAACCTGCAACCACCAAGACGCCGCACTTTATTACAGTCGATTTTGATAGAATCTAGACATTGTAAACCTAAAAGGAGCAAAAAAATTCAGAAATTCGAGACCACAGGATTTGTGAGTTACCGTTGCAGTTCCTGCATTTGACTGGACAAAGTTTCGAATAATAGCCAGGCCGAGATAGACAGGATTCATCCGTAATCTTGGAACAAATTGAAGGATTTTTGTCTTTGCAACCTGAAATTTAACGTAAACTGAGGCTGAGCGATGGTGAAATCTTTATACAATTTACCCAGAAGGGCAATCAGCTCTCCCAAGTTCACAGGAGCATCCTCGGCACTTTCTAAGTGATGTCCGGATCCAAAATGTCCATAAACGTTCTGGCTGTAGCCATTAGGGAAGAAAGCAGAGTGAGAGGCTGATGACTGCGGTTCTTCCTGATGTGGAAACAGCCATCGAGGTGGAGGCAGAGATGGACGAAACCTTGATACTTCAGTAGGTAAAATTGGGATCGAAAATCTATCTAAACTGTGTGGGAAGTTGGGGAAGTGCTCCTGAGATCTGAAAGAGATCGCATTTAAATGTGTGACTCTACCGTTAGCATCGAGCCTTACCCTCGCCTTGGCCATGGTGGTTTTAGCACAATCCTCACAGACTCGGGCGCGAAGACACCATTATCCATATCTTCTACGTCAGAATCTTAAACTACAACGAGTTATAGATGTCAAACTCACCTAACCTTATTACCTGGAAGACGTTCGACGTGATCCCCAAAGGCAGGATGAAGCCCCTCGTTGTCGTCCTCCTCTACAACTATTGGGCTACTTTCTGCCCTACTTATGTCCGAAAATGGGAGTGGATTAGAATCTCCATCTTCTGCTGATGACCTAAGACATTGAAAATAAGAGTAAAATATACTCAAATTTCGGTTCCCTACCTAAAAATGGGAGTGGATGTAGATGGACCATTCGAAAAAGAAGAGGATCCTACCACTGCGGGGATGATCATGGGTACCTATGTCAAGTTTTAGAATATATACTATACTGTAGTGAAGATAAGTGACTCACTCGAGTTGTTGTATTTATCGCCGAAGTATCGGGCTTTGATGACTTCGAGGTAGAAAATTTCTGTAGAACTTCAAATTTGGCAGCGCTCACAGGAGTTTTGAACATCAATCTGGCTCCTAAACCTCTGATGTACGGAAAAGAGCCAACCACACATGCTACTTCAAAAATCACTAACAGAATTGAAGATTTATTACTTAAGTTTGGGATAGCTTCTAGGACTCTAAAGTTTTACTAAACTTCCATTCCATTTGAATAAGCAAATCGAGAAGATGCTTGAACGTTAACTCAAAAAAAAATTTCCTACCTAGAGGATAAGAATGTCAATAGGTGTGGGTAAAAGTACGCAGTAATTATGCCTAATGCTGTCTAGGGACGGAAGAAAATCTTATTGTGAATAGGTCATATTTTTGAAATAGAGGAATCGAAAGGAGTCTTTTCAACTACTTTTACTATTGGGATTCTTTAAACTTTATCCAATGGGTAGAAAACCAAACTTTTTGTTGTTGCTTTTAAATTTAGAGGGACTTTCAGGAGCAAACAAGCTCCAAGATGGCGTCTGAACATCGCAAAAAGTTTGATCCGCGTGTTTAAAAATAAATATAGAAACAAATTTGAATAATTAAGAAGTCGAATCTCCACCAAAAAAACTATGGATCTTGAACTTGCCCTACACTCTAGATCAGACAATCATATAAGTCTGCACTTTTCATGATTGATTAAAATAGGCCAAAAGCATACAGGTTTCAATAGGCTTTTAATGCTAAATCTGATGTTTCTCGAATGTTCGTATATTATAGACAACTCAGAATTAGGTAAGGTCTCCGAAAAAGAGTAGCGGTAGCAGTTATGTAGGAGAAAACCAAGTTTGCTGTAGTCGAAGCTTGCCAATTTTGATTTCTTCGACTCATACCCAGAGAAATACGGTGACTGCATTTGTAAATGTTTAATGTGAAGAGTATATCCCTGCACAAGTTTGGGGAACTTAGATTTTGTAGATGAATGCCAGAAGGTTCCTTAATTTATTTAAAATTCCCAGGTGTGGCTCCGGTGTGTGCGATTGTACGGTCATCAAGGGCCGCTGGCGCGGTTAACGTGGGGTGCCCGCACGGTCTCTAATGTTCGCCGCTTGCGCGGAGAAAGTCGGCCGCTCGCTTGCTCTTAGAGTAGATGTATTTGCGATATCTTGACCATTTTTCCTGGATAGATCAATCCTTTACACATTTTGAAAACACGGATCGATGCTTGCAGCATTGCCAAACTTTTCATGGGGAAGCCATCACCATCACTCTTGATAACTGTAGCCTCACACAGGTTCATTCCATCCTTGCTGGTAAAAGAAAATGTTGATAACACGATGTGTCAACGCTTAGCCAGCCTAAACACTGCGTCGTATCTCACACAGGTACCGTTTACGCTCACAGTGTGTAAAAATAGTGAGCAAAAATAGAGGTCACTGTTGGCCGCTTGCACGGCAACATATACTGCGGACCGGTAAGACGGACGCACTGCTGGCCGCTCGCTCGAATAGCTGTATTGCATGCCGTTTGCGCGGTAACATTGCCTGCCGCTAGGACGGCGCTTCAGCTGTTTGCCGCACGCACGGAGGCTTTAGGCTTATGTCGACCGCTTGTACGCTAGCCCTTATGGGAGGACCGCTCGTACGGCGCGAATCCCTGAGTTAGCGCGCTGAACATAAATATCACGCTGATCTCGCAGAATAGTGCATTTTCTTGAGTTACGGTGGGTGTAGATGGGTCAAAGTTCCAGATTTGCTCAAAACCCTGTAACGGTTCACAAGTATATCGCTTATGAATTTGATGCTTGCTCGCTCTCATAATGCAATAGTGAAGTTATGGTGAGTTGCAGGGTTTGAGTGGACATTCTTTCGCTTTCGGGCCAATTTAGATCCCAGATATTCAAGAGATGGGGAAAAGGCCGTTTTGCATGGCGGTCTCCAGCGCCATCCTGATAACCTGTCCCAACGCGTAACGCACGCTGCAAACCTCCCTCCCCCTGTTTTTGCTTAGGCAAAAGCCGCCGAAGGGTGTATTGCGCGCGGCAGTGGTCCTATAAGGAAAGCATTTCGGTCGTGGGAAACTTTTATACCACACGAATTGCCATTTCGTGGGGATTAAAGGCAGTGTTCGGGCAAAAAGTCGATTTTGAGATTTTGTGCTTACCCGGGCCTATTCGCTATGGTGAATCCGAAAATCTCCACAGGGAGAGCGCGAAAACGTCGAAAAGGGCTCTAACGCAGGAGGGAAATCAGAAGTGGGCGGGGTCTTCCCCACTGTGAATTCACGGTCCCAGCTCCCGGAGCGATCTTCGCGGTTGTGATTTCAACTCAAGCACTCGCACTTGGCTTGAGTAGATGTCAGGAGGGCTAGCGATATTGAAAAGATCGCTCCGAAAGCCGGGACCGTGAATTCGCAGTTGGGAGGACTCCGCCCACTTTTGATTTTCTTCCGGCGTAAGGGCCCCTTTTCGCGGTTTTCGCGCTCTCTTGTGTGGATTTTCGGATTCACCATAGCGATTAGGCCCACGTAAGCACAAAATCTCAAAATCGACTTTTTGCCCGGACACTGCCTTTAAAGACAGTGGCTCGGCAAATCTCAACCTAGTCACATTTGCGCTTACCTGCGGTTTTTCATTACACTGATCCCGAAAATCCACTTTTGAAAGCCTGATACGGCGAAAATGAGCGTTTTTTAATGCCCTTCCCTTTGGAATTGGACGAGTGGAGCAAGGTTGATGACGCTAAATCGTGGCGGGACCCAGTTAGCGTTGCGGCGGGGAGCCTCCAATGGTGAGAAGGAAATTGCGAACTCGTCCAGATGCGTGTAAGAATGGCCTGCGCGTTTAAGTTGAGATCGATTTTCTCGGCAGGGAAAGCATGCTGTGCCACCGGGATTGTTTTCATACTTGGGCGATAAGGAACCTACCGCGTTAAAATCCCAAGTTGTTTTATTTTGCCGATCCACTGCCTTTAAGCAAGATATTCTTGAAACATCACTTAAGTAATTCCCTGCCAAGGTTTCAGGCAGGTCATGATTTTTACCCGCTGCCACGAGAAATGACTACGATAATCGTCATCAGCGGCTCGAATAACCCCCATATAGCCTCACTCATAGGGTCTTCACGACCTTATTTATAATACTATACAAATGCACTTATTATCTGCTGCCTTCTTTCTCCATGGGAGCGATGTAAGAGAAAGCTCAAAGAGGTATTCCCGCCGGGGTACGCATGGAATAAGATCATTCGCTCGGGTGTCTTTCTCTTTTTTCGCTTGAGTGTGATAGCTTAAAGGCTATTCACACCATGGTTGCAGCATGACTATTCATATTTTCTCCATCATCTCATACTTATACAACCATTGGAATAACTGTAGTTTTATACTTGCAGCACAGTTTGATTTTTCGAAAAACCAGCACTTATTCTTCGTCTATTATTTACTGCAAATTAGTAATCTTGTCGAACTAACATGTTCGTTAGGCGCATCCTTGAATGCATAAACAAATAAATAAATAAATGTATAAATATATAAATATACCGAGTAGCAAGACCAAAAACTTTTAGGGCCCGGATAGCCGGATAACGCCATCAATTTTTAGAATTATCCTTACTTTCATTGATTTTGCTGTTTTTTTGTTGCAAAGTTTTAGCTACGAGGCTGGGGGTTGGTGAGGTAGGTGAGCATACTGATTACTAACACAGCGGGAGTAGGGAATTGCATGTAGAAATGGGCACAGGTGAAGGTGTACAGGGATAGAGATAAAACCTTTATCGTTCTTGACAGGGCCGGGCGGAGCCGGGTATGCCAGCTAGTAGGTTTTATAGAGTAAGGTTGCCTTACCAGAATATATCTTAGCCTTACCGATCCGTTCAAACAACGCCGAGAATTCAGGCTCTTGAAAAAGCAGGTAAGAAAGCGCTTTTCAAAATCCAACGCTTATAACTTCTTCAGAATTGCATGAATCATGTTGCGACTTCATAGGTTAGATTCTTCTCATCGAGAGCTTTCGAATGATATATAACATATGGGGGTTCGATGCCTTCTATTGACTTATGCCCGAGGGGGAGACTTTTCATCACTAATTCTCCTCTGGCGGCCTCCTCCATCCAATACATTGAGGTGGGTGAAGAAGACAATCAATGATGAAAAGTCTCCCCCTCGGGCATAAGTCGTAGAAGGCATCGAACCCCCACATGTTATATATTAGGTCATTCGGAAAGTTTTTTCGTTTTTTGCGCCTTTGATGTTGGTGCCATGTTTTAAGAGAGTGCCAGAGGGCTAATAGGGGTTGCTATGTATGGTTTATAAGTTTACGTGGCTATAAATTTGACGTATGAAAACGCAATTTTCGAATAATTGCACTCTTTAAGCTCAGTCTTGAGTATAAGGCAGTTAAAGAAGCTATCATTGTGCGCAATGCATTTGCTAAGGCCACGTCTTTCTTGACATTGGTTGAAGTCTGCTTCAAAAAGTCCAGATCTAGAGAAGTGAAAGCTAATGTTCTGCACTGTTTTGGAAGATGTTCCCGCCATATAAACGAGCACCTCAAAGGGTCCTTTGAAGCAAATCGCAAACATAGCTGCATAAAACTATGAGCAGGCCTTGTAGTGTCATATAGCCCCACTTGAAGCCACCATCGCTAAAGCTGCAATAACAAAAAATACTAGTGGCATACACCTTACAAATTGTCGCACTAGCAGATTGACGGCGTGTTGGCTTTGCTTTCGCTTCTCATAATTTGGCGGAGCAATTCTTTTTTGGCCTGGATTGATAATTACAACAAAAAATTGACCAAGTACAGCTAAAAGAACCAACAATGTGGTAAATCATTTAGAACAAGCATTGCAAGCATGGCCATGAACAGCAAGTCATTACAAAAGGTTGATGTGCTCAAATTAATGTAATCCCGCTAGTCTTGCACGCTATAATTTTGCTAAGTTGTGGTTGTGGTGTAAGAGCAGAGTAGTATGATATCGCTTTAAAACCCGTTTGTCAAAATAATGGAACTGAGAAGACTTGCACGTATGATCTATAAAAAGTGCTATCCTCGTCCATGACGCCGTCAAACCACATGTAATAAAAGTGGCTC